TTTTTTTTTTTTTTTTTTTTTTCCAACCCCAAACCCAACCCCAAACCCAACCCCCACCCCAACCCCAACCCCAACCCCAACCCCAAACCCAACCCCAACCCCAACCCCAAACCCACTTTGAATAATTTTAATACAGAAATTTAAAATTTAGATAATGGAATTATTGAGAAAAACAAACAAATATTTATAAAATCAGTATTTAACGATCCAAAATTTAATTTATCCACAGATAATTTCAAGAATGTAATTAACTTTATTAAAGACAAATTAAATCATGATGAAAAAATCAAATAAAAGTTGATTGAAATTGTAAGACTCTCTAAAGACTCAAATTATTATTAATCAGCATCTAATAGTATTTATTTATTAAGATAAATGAATATATATTTGGGATCTTAAAATTTTAATAGCATTTAATTAAAAAATACAAATATTTCAGGATTAAGCTTTTTTGATTGTGACTTAGCAAATTCAAAATTTTTAAATGTTGAAATTAATTCTTGCAATTTTAATTTTGCTGATTTGTCAAATGTTGAGTGGATTAATGTTAGATGTAAAGAAAAACCATTTCTTAAAGCCCATATAAAAAAAGTGATAGCTATTCAATTTTCACCTAATGGGTAATTAATTGCTTCTGCTGGTGAGGAAAATGTAATAAAACTATGGAATGCAGATTCATATTAATTTATCTTAAATTTAGAAGGACATGCAGGTTAAATAAATACATTATAATTTACAAAAGACTCTTTAAAACTATTTTCAGGAAGTGATGATTGTACAATAAGATAATGGGATTTAAACTAGGAAATAAATCCTAAAAGTACGATTAAAAGTGAAATTGTTGATTAGTTCTAGGATGAAATATTAAAAGTATAAATATCAAAGGATACAAACAAATTATATGCACTTGATAAAAAGGAATGCTTCTATATTCTTAATTTATCAATTCTTTGGTTTGATGATTTTGTTTTAACAATGTAAAAATCTTCATTTAATTTATTCTGTCTAAACCCAAAATAAACAATAGTTGCGATTGCTTATGATAATAGTGAGATTGAATTAATTGACTATGAAACTAAAAGTAGTAAAGTCATTGATACTGTTAAAGATCAAATTTATAAAATGGAATTTAGTGAAGATGGAAATTACCTTGCGATAGCAACCAATAGTAGTACTTTTATATTAGATATAAATAAAAATAAAATGATAAGTGAATTTTAATTTGCTGATATAGAATTATCGACGATTCTGTTTGATTTAGAATCTAATGATATAATTTTTAGTGCAAATGAATTCATCTTTCTGAGGAAAATACATTAACCAAAAATTGAATGTTAAGAAAAGAAAGAAAAATGTTTTGATATAGTAATATCTCCAAATGGAAAATTAGCTGCTTTACTATTTGAAAAAAAAATCATTATCAAAGAAGTCCTTTCATAAAATTTTGAAAGACTTATACCTTTTGATTTATAACCAAATTAGATTAAATTTTCAGAAGATAGTAATAAATTATCATATTTTTTAAATGAATAAGAAACTATAAAGCATTTTTAAATTATTGACATAAAATAGCTTCAAATAATTTATGAAATTTCTTGGAATTATAATTAGTGGAAAAGTCTTGTCATTTCCTAAAATTTTGAGAAACTAGTAATTTTGTTTAATATTTTAGAAAATGAAATTCCACTATTTGATGGAGCAATTATATTGAATACAAAAAAAAAAATTTAAGATGTAAAAAATAAGAAATTTATTTTGAATATTTAAAAGTTTTGTGTTCAATGTAATAGTTTGATTATTGCTTATATCACATCTTAGGCTGATTTTGTTGTAATATTTGATTTAGCTAAGAATCAATAAATTTACGGCCCACTTGAAAATGAAAAGAAATAAATTTTAGATTTCTAATTTTCTCCGATCAAAAATTAACTTGCGGTTGGATATTAGGGAGAGTTGTTACTTTGGAATTTTGATTTAAAAAAAAATAAAAGTATAATGTTAGAGAATTTAGCTATATTATCTATAAATTATTCTCCAGACGGTACATAAATTGGATTAGTATTTTTCTAATAAATTTCGATATATGATATAGATGCTAATAATTTAATAAACCTGAAAGAATAATTTACAGCAAGAGAACTATCATTTTCTATGAATAATGAATTTATAGGTTTCATAGATGAGAACAATGATATAAATCTTTTAAACAAAAAGGAAAATTATAAAAAAAAGAAAATCGATCGGTATATAATTTATTTTCTAAGATTTAAATTTGATCAAAATTGTATCTTTATTGCAAATAAAAAAAATTTTTTTTATTTGATTTTACTAACCACGAAGAAAAAGCAATACATAATAGTAGAATAGTTTTTGAATAAATAGTTTTTTCACATAAAACTAATTTAATTGCTTTATTTTCAAGTTATGTTATAGAGTTATGGAACTATAGTGACAATAAATTTAAATATATAGGATCATAATTGTTAGAAATTCCAATTAAATAATTGTTTTTTGTCAATGATGATCAATAAATTGTAATTTTAAAATAAAATTTGGAGTTAGTTTTGATTGAATTGAATTAATTTCAGGAATATTAAATCTTATAAGGTAGTTTCAATAATATAGAATTGATTACTTAATTAAAAGAAAGCAATAAAATATATAATTTAGAATTTTTTGAAAAAAAAAAGGTTTATTATTAGTTCTCTACAATGAAAAAATTCTAATCTGGAAGTATAAGGATAAACAGGAATAACATTACATTAATTTCTGTTTATCAACCAAATCAAAATTATCTTTGGATGAAGATTTTGTCATTTCATAATTTGAAAGTAATTTAACACTATATAATATAAGAGACTTGAACAAAATTTAATTATAAGGTTATCATGAAAATATTTATAGTTTATCTATTTTAGATGACAGTAAATATGGAATTGGTATAAAAGATGGTTAAGAGATTAAAATATAGGATTTATTTAATATAGAATTTACACTTTGTAATAACGAATAAAAAAGAATCAAGTAATTAATCTATAATAAAATTCAAAAATAATTTATAATTTTGACTGATTCTAAAGAATTATTTATTTACAAAACTGACCAAAAATCAATTATTGATCTTGAAAATGATGTCTTTCATATAGCATATTCAGAAGAAAAAAAATTTATGGCTATTTCTAAACCAAAATAATTATTACTAGCTGATTTTTTGAATGAAACAATAATTATTATTAATACTTTTCATTTAGAGTTTCATTATAATGAGCTTTCTTTAACAAAGGATGGAGAAGAATTTTTAACCAAAGGTTATGAAAGGATATGTTTATTTTCTATTACAAAAAGTAAGCAATTAAATTGTAAACTCATGTATTATATATATTCAGATAATTATAAATTAGATTTGATTTTTCCAAAACAGGCCTAATTATTGTAAAAACCTGGGGTATGCAACAAATAGCATCTTCTAGCTCTCATGAATAGTAAATCCTTTTAGATGAGAGATGTTTAGAAAGTTAAGAGAGTAGTTTAAATTTAAATTCAAAGTCTTAAAACATTTTCATTAGATTTAGATGAAGAAAATGTTTGTTTAGCTTTGTAGTGTGAAGAATAGGGTGCCTTATGGATCTTTGATTCTAGCAAATTGGAATTTGAAGAATATTAAGATAATAACTCAGAATATAATAATTGTATAACAGCAATTGGAAATGATTCATATGCTTATTTAAACAATAAGAATAAAATAGCTCTATATTAATTTTCAACTTAATCTTTAAAAGAAATCAATATAATTTTTGATAAAATAACTTACATATCATATTTGAAATAATTATAGTGGCTAGCAATTAGCACAATTAAGAATGATATAATATTATTAGATTTCAAAGCTTAAAAGATTGTTGGATCCTTAAAAGGTCATTAAAAATAAATCAATTCTATTGCAGCATCCCAAAATGAAAATGTTCTTGCATCTGCAAGTGATGATACATTGATAAAACTATGGAATATTAAGTAAAAGGAATCTTCAGAATTTATGCAAGCTCATTAATATTCTATTAGTTAATTAGCATTTTCTGAAGATGGTTAAATTATTGCATCAGGAAGTATTAAAGGTTTAGAAAATCAAGTACCAATTTTTATATGGGATATTGCAAATAGAAAATTAATTACTTAATTGATAGGACATTAGGATTCAATATGTTTTTTGTCATTCTCTTATTGCCATAAATAATTATATTCTGGAAGTATTGATGGTACCATTATTATTTGGAACATGCACTATCCGCATTAAACTGAAATTAAGTTTGTAATGGTTGAATTAAATTTAACTTTAAATTCTCTTTGCTTTTCTCCTAAAGAATAAGTGTTAGTAGGACTTTTAAATTTGAATGATATTTAAAAATGGGATATTGGGAAAATCAAAGAATAAGAAATTAAAAAAAGAAGAATCCTTAAAATTAACCATTCTTTATTCAATTCTTAACTTAATGGAAAAGGTTTTAATTAACCATGCAACTTTATTTCAGATGATTAATTTGTTTATAATAATGGAAATTAAATGATAACGTTAAATGTAGAAACGAAAAAATAAGAGATTATAACAAAGTTTTCATATGAAGTTCCAATCGCAATCTAGTTTATTCCTTTAAAAGATAGCACCAACTTTTTATATTTGAATGAAAGGGGATAATTAAACTCTCTCCAAAAAAATACTGAGAACAAATGGATCGAATTTAAATCATATTTTGAATAGACAAAGTTTCTTTTTCTCACTCCAAATAAAAAATTATTATTCTAATTACGATTAGTAGAAAAAGATGATTTTAATTTTGAAAAATCCAATGAATCATCGAAGTTTCAAAGAATAACTATCCATGATTTTTCTAAATTGGAGCCTTCAACATGGAAAATTAGAAGTTTGAAACAATTTAATGGTTAAGTTTCTTTTTAAGAAGACTCAAAAATAACTATAATTATTGATTAATAAATATAAATTTGGGATTTAAATAATGAGGACTATATCAAGATATTTAAAGGAACCTAAAAATTAGAAGTTCCTTAAATATCTAATGATCAAAAATATTTGGGTTGTATTTAATTATATTCGGAAAAGTAAAGCGATATTATCTTATGGGAGATTGAAAATCCAAATATAATAATTGAATTAAAGGTTTCAGGTGAATAAGCCATTATTTTTTAATTTTCCAGCAACGATTCAAACAAAATTTATGCACTATACAAAGGTATTCTAAGAAATTGGAATGTCATGAATCAAACATTTGAAATAACAAATATTTCTTTTGATTTAACTGCTTCTTAATCATATATTTCCAGAAATGGTAAATTTCTCATCTGTTAAGAACAAGAATAGATGGACAAGAAAATAATAGTATGGGATATCAAAAATTCCAAAAAATATTTTGATTTAACATAAGCTCCTATTTATGCCTTAGCTTTTTCCAAAAATGACGATATGTTCAAAGTTGCTTATGAAGATAACAAAAAAATAATTTTAAAAAATGCTAACACATAATGCTTAATAAATCTTATTAATTGTAAAAAAGATCGTTCAAAAATTTCTTTTACAGATAATGACAAGAAATTGATATGCCTAAATTATGATATCATATATTTATGGTAAATAGATGAATCGTTACAACATAACCTAATAGGGTGTTGGAAAATATATGACACATATGAATTTAAATATAATTCAATAACATAAGAATTTACATATTTTGGCATGGATCACATTATTAAGGTTATCAAAATAATTCCAACAATTTATAAAATTAATTTTGATAATTTCGATCATATTACAGATTAAAAAAGAGTCTGCTTTTCAAGTGATAGTAAATATTTTATAAATTTGACTCCATACTTAAAGATTTATGATGTAGAAAGTTTTTAAATGTTAGTTGAACACAAAGACTTTTAAGGGTAATAAATTTACGCTTAATCAAATGAAATTGTAATTATTAGTAATAATGATCAAGAATTACAGCTTATAAACATTTCTAAAATTGATAAAATAGAAAAGATTTAAAAGTTTGAACACCAAAATTAATTGTTTCAAACTGTTTCATGTTCAGATTATTATTTTCTTTATTTTTAAAATGAAATTGAAAATAAACCAGATAATTAAAATTATTTAAAATAAAAGAAAGCTATTAATAAATTAGCTAAACTATATTCAAATGATAACTCTTTGTTGGCTGTTTTTTATTCTTTTCAATAGCCTATATTTAGTATGAGTGGAAAATATTTTGCATTAATATCCTAACAAAATTATGAAATAATAAATTTTTAAGACTGTTAAATATTTAATTTAGAATAGTAATTATTTTTAGATAGAGAAATCAAATTTGGTTAGATATTTTTTTCTTTTAATGGAGAATTAATATACTTATTTACACATAATAGTATTTAAATTTTAGAGTTATAGACTTTGAATACTATATAAAAAGAGATATTAGATTTTGAAGTAAAAGAGATTTAAAATTCTTTAAATTAAAAATATATTGCTTTAATGGGCTAAGACTAAGTTAAGATTTATTAATTAGAAAACTAGATAAAGTTTATTAAGACAATTTAGTCAATTAATGAAAATGAAAATATAATCAAATCTATTTTCAAATGCATTTCTTTATCTCCAAAGGGAGATCTTCTTCTAATAGGTGAATAATCGCCTCAGGACTTTACAAATTCAATATCCCTATGGATTGTCGAAAAAGGCGAAAAAGTATACATAAATAATTAATAAATGATGAAGTTAAAGTAGTTAGATTTTGTCCAGATGGAATGACATTTGCAGCAGGTCTATCCGATGAATCTATAAATTTATATTCAACAAATATGAATTAGCTAAGACAAAGCAAAGGCTAGTAATAATACAAAATCTTTTGTTTTTAATCATTTGCAAAACAATCTTTAATATCTACTTAAGAATGTATTTTATCAAAATCAAAGATATAATCAGAATAAGAATCGTTGATTGAACTTTTTTGCTAAAAAGGAGCAAAATAATTGGAATTATGAAAAAAATATTATAAAAATAGTCAATAGCTAATAAATTTATTATTTAAGTATATTCAAAGTTTTTTTATTTTAAATAATTTCTTATTACTTAAACTTTTTAAATTAATTTAAAACCCTAAAGGAATTTTCTGGTTAAATTACTTAACAACTTTATAAAAATTGATCATTATATATATTATTAAATTCTTGATAATTCGAATTAATTACATCAATAATTTATAAGATCTTAATTATTTTAGTCTGAATGTCAATAGAAAAGAAATGCTCAAGTACATTTAATAGATAATGCAAAGAAGTTCGAAGAATAAATTTTTTTGTTTAAAATAATTCATTAAATTATCTAAATATTCTTCTTTCTATTCTCAAAGTATGGGTTAATCATTCTTATATTGAAGCAATCATTTGGTATCTGAAATTTTAAAAAGATCTTAAATATTAATATTATTAATTTCCATAAGAAATTTATGAAATGGTTTTATTGACCAATCTTTAAAAAAAACAAAGTATCATTATTTAGAAAAAACATCTTAATCTGTTTGTTAAAAAGTAATATTTATAATTTGATTAATTTGATTAATTTATATATGAAATGATAATGAAGTTGAAGAAAAAGTGCAGTACTCAAAAATAAGTTGACTAAAGGTAGAGCATTTTAGACCTATCTGTAGAGAAACCTTTTAGTTAAACTTATTCTTTACTGTGACTAATAGTTTTGAAGAAAGAATAAGCAGTAAAGGATTTAAAAACCCAATTTTTAAATATTAACTGAACTTTAATCTTTTTTAAATAAAAAAATAATTGATTATAATATGAAAATATTTTTTTTATGATTCAATAAAATATTTGTGTAGATCTTTTTTATTTTAATTTTTCTTTAAGTCTTTTTTGCTTAAATTTTAAAATAAATTTTGCTAATTTGATTTTGATTTGGAAAGCATATTTTACTAATGGAGCTGCTAAACCTAAAGACAAAAGGCCAATTAGTAGAAAACCAATAATAATTTGAGTTTCATTGTTCAAATGTGTGGCAATAATTGGATCAAAGGATAGACTAAGCAAAGTAAAAATGACGATAGGTATTTCAAACACAAGGATTGTTATTAGATCTATTTTATTTTTTGTCATTTTACTAAGGATGATTGTAGTAATATACATAGTATTAACGCATGCAATCATCACACATTATATAATAGAGTTGTTTTAAGAACTAATTAGAATAATCAATATTAAAAATTTTTTAGCAATTATTAAACTTTCATGACCAAAACTAATTTTTTTTTATTTCAATCTAGATAATGATTATGAAAAAAAGGAAGACATCAAGATTGCTATGGAAATTAAAATACTTACAGCTAATATACTTTAAGCTGTATTTCTATAACTAATTTCTTTTTTAGAGAAAAGAAATAGCAAGGACTTAAAAATTAAATCCCAAGAATTAGCTTGCAAAATATAAATGGCTCCTTATCGTGATAACATGGAAAGCAATCCTAAGCTTACTTCATTTAGTTTATTTATTAGATATCCAAATTAGCTTAACAAAAGTATTTAATGATTGCGATTTATAAAGAGACAAATTTAAGTAAAAAATGAATAGAAAATAAAGTTTAAATAACAGAATGAAAGTATGAGCAATAATGTTATTAGTCCTAATTGAGTAATTAAACCAATTAAATTAGTTATTAGATCAGAATTTATATTATATTTTAAAAATTAACCATAAGCTGATTATTATTACCCAATTATATCTTAATATAAATCTACAATTAAAAATTTTTCAAGAATTGGAAAAATACTAACAACTTCAGAGGATTAAAAATAAATTATAAGGTTTTCTGGAAAATTGATATTAATAAACTTTAGATTTGATTAATATTAAATTGTGTCTAAAACCTCAAAACATTCAGCAGGGTTTCCAGAAATTAAGATAATCATACTAGATACACCTAGAGCTATTAGTATTAACATATTATAAGAGCTAATTTTATGGGATATCATTCTTTAAGTTTCTGTTAATACAAGAGGATTGTTAATGTGAATTTTGCAAATATCATTATCAACTTAAAAACCATTGCGGTCAACTAATAAAGTGTTTAATTGAACTTATAGAAAAATTTCACTTGTTTGTTATTCTAATATTTAAATTCTTAAGAAATATATAATATTATGAACACTTTAATTATTAGGCTCAATAATGAATGTATTAGCAATAGTATAATGCAAAGGGTTGATATCGATTAGGGATGCTTTTAAATTTTATGTCAAATTTTAAGATGAATCAAGCAATTTAATTTAATCTGTAAATTATATTTGAACAAATTGGACATCAAATGTTTAATTTAATAATATTAGATTAAAATGAGGAGGTGTAATTAAAAAACAAGAAGTATTTTTGGATTTAACTTAAATGCATGTCCAATTTAATTCAATTTCACAAGTTTCAGAACACCCATCTTGTGATAAGAGATTACCATCATCACATTATACTTAATCAGATTTGAAGCCATTTCCACAAATATCTTAACAATTATTATTAATCAATTTAAAACCATGATCACATTGAAAACATTATTAATCATGACAATGAAGACAATTTTAAGGACATGAAAAGACACATAAATAGCAACCATCATAAGCATCATCATTAGCATCATCACATTATTCATTTAAAGCAACAATAGAATCACCACATATAGAATTGCATTCAAAATCTACTTAATAATATCCATAATCGCAATTGTCAAGACAATTTTAATGATCACATATTTGACAATTTTCTTAACAAGAATATTCGCAATCATAACATCCATCATATTTAATATCATTTCCATCATCACATATTTCTAATCCTTCAATAATGTATCCATCTCCACAAATTGGAATACATAAATTATCTTTAATTTCAAAATATTCTTTGCATATTGCACATTCAAGATTACCATTACAAAAAATGCAATTATATTAGCATTCAAATTTACATTCATAACATCCGTCTCCTTGTTCTTAATTTTAATCATCACATTATTCTTATGAACTCAAAGCAATTATTCCATCTCCACATTCTTATACACATAAAAAGTCTATAAGATTCCATCCTTATAAACATTAAAAACAAAAAGAATTTTAACAATCTAAACATTCTAATTGACAACTACTAGAACATTAAAAGCATCCATCAAACTAAATAAGGTTTTAATCATCACATTATTCCTCTTCTTAAATGATTCCATTATTGCATATTGGAAAACATTAATTATCGAATTTATTTTCAAATTCATTGATACAAGTATGGCATTCATTTAAAAAATAACTCTAACAATTTTATGGTTTCAGATAAAAACATTAATTATATTAATAAGCAAAAATGCCATAATTTTGGAGTTAACATTACATACCTTAATACAATAAATCAAGGTTTTTATTGATAATGATATGTTGTTCATAATTGTTAATCAAGAAATTAGAAATAGGACAAAAATGTCCTTCTGTGATTTAGAGATGATATTAAATAAGATTATGTTCCTCTTTTTCATAGCAAGAGAAAACGCATTAGTTATTAAACAATTGATATTAAGAAGAGCAGAATAAACATTAACCATATTCACATTAAATACAATTTAAGGGACATGAGAATTTACACTAATAGCATCCATCATTAGGCTATAAATTTCCGTCATCGCATTCCTCTAATAGTACAATAATTTTATCACCACAATAAGGTAAACACATTTAAAAATTTTCATCAAATGACCAACCAGAGAAGCATTCAAAACAAAGCTCTCTAATACAGTTACTACATCCTTCTACACAATTAAATTATTAAGAAAAATATCCTTCAATTGGAAGGATTAAATTATCATTGATGACAATATCATCCTCCTTTATTACTAATCCCTCTGTATAAGTAAAAACTTCAAAATCTCGAATACCAAATTAAGCAGTATTCACTGATGGATGAATGACAATAGATATTGTTAATGTTGGAGAACTGTGTGAAGATCCAATTATATAAATCTTTCCCATTTAGAAATATGTACCACAAATAGTATTTGAAGTAGTTATAAAAGGTAGAATAGGAGCATAATAATATAATTAAGCATCTCCTATCACTTCTAAAGTGACAGAATTATTAATCCCAGAACATAAAAAAGTAAATAAGATCTTAACCATGGAATGAGGAGTATTTAAGTTTAAATTTATTGAAGCAACTTGATTTTATAAAAAATTACCATAGTATTGAAAACCTAAATTAAATTCTAATTATATATTACCACAATATTATGAATTATAATATGGTGAATTATTCTTTTCCCATCCTTATCCATCTGTAAAAGTAAGAGTTGTAAAATATGTTAATAATCTATACCAACTTTAACAAACTCCGGCATAATCACAAAAATGACAATTCTTTGGACATTTTAACACAAATAATTTGAAATTAGAAATTCCCCATGATGCTGATGATTACTTAGAAACTATTATTATTATGGCTGAGTTACCAAAATGATCAATTGATTTGCTGATTTAATCAATCTCACCTGAAGAACCTGATCCACAAATCTCTGTCCCTACAGGACTCTATGGATTATAAGAATGAGCATTTTCTCCATCTACATAAATTATGTAAGATTAAGAATACCAAGGATCTAATCTATGAAATATTATTTTTAAAATACGAAACCTCCAAAATTATAACTCGAATTAGATCTTATAATGAGGGGGCATAATAAACATCTTCATTATGAATGTTTAAGCACTAAAAACCGATCTTCCTCCATATATATCAGAAGTAACACAATTTGTAATATGGTTTGAATTTTAAGCTTAATATGCAATCCAATCTATTTAGATAAATTATAATTACTATCATCTGTGCTTATTGGACTAAAAAATGATCTGCTGATTTCAGTTTGTGCATATACTTTAACACAGAATTAATTTATAAGAGCTATCTCAATTAAGATAAATTTGATGCATCTCTTCAAGAACTCTCTTTCAAGAATTTATGATCTCATTTGTTTTTTTAGAATAAATAATCAAGTTAATCAATAATTAAACCATGTTTGTAAAACAAATGAAGTATCTAATCAAAGGATAATAATTATTCGCAATTATTTACAAAAATATAAATTTATATCAGCAATAGTTTATCTATATAAAATTTATCTATAAACATACGGTATCATTAATCATTATATTAAGTAATAATTAAAGTCAGACCAATCTAGGGTTTAGATTAAAATCAGATGGAAGTGTTTTTAAAAAAAAGAATTAAGTTTTTCAATCATTTTGATATTTTTGCATTTAAATTATTTATTTTTCTAGAAAAATGCTCTTAAATTCTGATAATTTTGCTCATAGAGTATCTATAAAAATTGAATAAAAAAAAGTTAGTCTTGTAGTTAAATTAATTAGACATAAATTAAAAATAAAATTAATATATAATTATAATTATAAAAGCAATTAATTACATAGTCAATTTTTTAAATTAATTTATGAATGAAAAAGAATCATTAAATATTCAAATATATATAACTGTTGTAATTGTGAATAATTAGAAAAAAATGATCAGGTTAACGAATTGCATGTAATATTGATTTTTATCAAGGCAATATACAAGATGAACTGATGTTAAGAAAATAATAAAGGCCAAGAAACTTTGCTTTGATGCAGAAACAATAAATTAAGCATTTTTTAATTAAATAATGAGAATAAATTGAGTTTAAACGGGGTGATATATTTTTAACATTATATCAAATTTTGGATTGATTTAATAAAATATCAATTTGTGGATAAGTGTTTTCTTTTTAAAGAAGTGCCTTCTGAAATAGAATATAAATCTAGCTATATTTTAATTATATAAACCTTCAAATTGATTATGAAATTTTAAATCTTTTCTTCTTTCTTATTCTGGATTTCTTCAATCTTTAACTTGCTTTAAAAATATCCAATCATTTTAATAGTCAAAATTAGAACTAAGCCTTTTTTTAGTTGGTTGTATATAATAAAAATTTTTAATTGATAAATTACGCTCAATCAAAACCTTATCATTTATTCAATAAAAAATGAATATATAGTAAAGATATCATCTTTAAATCAATGTATTTTGAAAAATAAGTATTTTATTTTCCAAATATGATTTAATTACACTATTAGATATATATATAATTTTGAACCTAAAAAATTATTATCATCGATTGACAAACATTAGGTATTTAAAATTAATATATAAGAAATTAGTCATAATTTTATTCAGAAAACAAGAATTCAGTTCATAAAATAATTATTTTATTTCAACTTTCTAAACATTCAAATATTTGCCAAATATAAAACTAGTTTTGTTTTGGTCTTATATACTATCTATTCAATAAAACACGCCAGAGTATATTTAGAAATAAATAAAATTTATAATAGGTATAATTTATAATAGTAATCAAATTTTATAAATAAAATATTGTCCTCCAGTTTCTTTTGCATTTGGATCCCAAAAAAACAAGCGGGATCCATCATTTGATAAACATCCAGATGTTCGAGTAGATTTACATTTTATAATTCCTGCTATTTTTAAAGTATTATCTGTAGATTATTTAATTATATATATCTTTTCTTTTTACTTTATAATTAGGATATTTTTTTATAAATTTTAAATAATTGGGAACAAGTAAAAATCAATCTCTTAGCTATTTTATGCCAATGAAATCTGTAATTTTAGATTTTCAACAAATTTTCCATTAATTTCTTGAAAGACACAAATATAATCAGAGCCTGAACTTTCGCTAATTACCCAAATGAGATGTGAGTTCTTTAAAAAACAAATTCTTGATCCATATAAAACCGATGATATTTACGATACCAATGTAGCTTTTTCAGAAACCCATTAATCATTTTTCATTTTTCTCCAAATATTGATAGATTTATTTTTATGCGAAGATGCTAAAATATTTTATTATGAGTTAATAGTCAATCCTTCAACATCACCTGAAGTTGACTTTAACTGGCTTTTAAATTAAATTATATTTTTATTAAAATCTATATCCCAGATAATAAGTGATTAATCAGTACTACCAGAGATTAATTATTTTTCATTTTCAGTTAATATCATACATGTAACAGCTCCAGTATGTTTTTAATATAATTAAGAAGGATGCCATTTATTTTCATCAATTCTTTTCCAACAACAAATAGATTTATCCTCAGATGCCGAAATTAAGGAATCCTATTTTTAACTGAATATCAAACAGTAAATACTCTTTTCATGGATTTGCTCCAATCTGGAATATTTATTCATAATTCTATTTTCCAATCGCCATATTATAATTTTTGTATCTTTACTTGTTGCAAGTAAAGAGCCCGATTAATTTATAGAAATAGCATTACAAGGCTCAACTTATAAATTTGTGTTATCAATTAATTAGAGATATAAAGAATCATCTATAATTGTAACTTGAGAGTTTTAGTTTAGTTGAGCAAATTGTTCAAGTTATCTTTTAATTATTCCAGATTCTTGAAAGTCTTTAAAGTCATCCAATTCTCTTTGAATTTTTTGGATAATTTCTTCTTTTTCTTTCTATATATTTTTATAGGTGTCATTTATTATATCATCCCATTTATTAAAAAGTAAATCTTAAATATCTTCTTCGATATTTATGGATAAATCTTCTTATAAAAGAAGATCTGCTTTTTTTTTCAAATCTTCAATTTGTGAACTTATTTAACTAAGATTCTTTAAAATTTTAGTTTTCATATTAGAAAAACTGTCCTCAATTTATAGAAGTTTCAATGAATAAGATTATGAAAAGTCTTTGAAAGATTCAAATTTTTTTATTTTCTAAAAATTTATGCTCTATTAGATAGTTTAAAAATCTTCTAATTTATCAAATCTATTTTATTTAAGGCATAGGTCACACAATAGTCTTTGATTTTTCTCAGCTGATTTTTCCATAATCACTTTGCGAATCGGTTTATTATGATTTTTGCACTAGATGTTTATATCTGACATTTAATAAATTTAATAGAAAATAAATATTGAATGGCATTCATTTTAATTACACCTATCTCTAATACTTTTCTTAAAATAGTCAAATTTAGAACCTAAAAGAACCTAAGCTTGTTAATAGTTTGGGTCTATTTTTAAGCAATCTTTCAATAATTCAATGGCTTAAAATTTTTCATTTAATTCGTACTATATTTCAGCTTCTTCTTAACTTAAAATTACCTTTGTTTTTATAATATCTCACAAGTTTTTTATCTTATTTCAATTTTTTTTAGTATATTGCTTTATCAATGTACTTAAGGGCATCCTTTTAATTACCCAAAAATTTTAGGCAATCAGCTAATTATTATATTAAATTTACCATAGTGAAAATTACCTTTAGGTGTTAATGGATCATATTTTAAGGTTCGATGAGCATATTTCAAAGCAAGTTCATAATTGCATAGTAATTTTAATGTTACAGCTAAATTTCATAAAAAAATTAACCCATTCCTTTTACTGCTTTTTTATTTTTTTAATCAAATTTCAGTGCTTATTTAAAATCTAACTCTGCTAAGTAATTTTTGCTTCTATCTAAATACAATTTACCTATTAAAAATTAATTTTCATAAAACCTCTATATAATCGAGGGTCAATAAAACTAGGATTGAATTCAATAGATTTTGAAAAATATTCTAGGGCTTCATCATCTCTATTTTTTGAATGTAAGTCCATTGCTTTAGAAAAATTCTCAATTGATTTTTATTGATTCTCAAACACCTAATAAATTTTATAATTCATAATTACTTCTTTTACCTTACTCTTCAGATCATCAAATTTTGGCAAAATTTTTGTTATTGCATTTTTTTATTTATCTTCCAAGTTTAGATTTTAAATTTAGACAAATGTTTCAATATCTTATCTGATTAAATTAATTAATATGAAAATAGTTTGTAACTCTGAACTTTCTGAAATGTTCTCATCATAAAGTAGTAATTAATTTTACATTTATTTTAAAAAAAGAAAACAGAAAATAAAAAAAAGTAATTAGTTTACAAAAAAAATATGTTTTCTTTCTTTTACAAAAGTATTAATTTTGATAAAGTTGATTATATATATTTTTAATAAATACAAAAATTAATGCTATTCAAAGAATAAGAAAATTTAGTGTTTATGCATTTTATTTAGAGAATATACAAAAAGTATCAAAGATATTTAGTTTAGTTCTTGCTTAATAAAAAATAATCAGCAATATAATGAACTTAGGTTTAGTTATATAAATTTAATAATTAATGATTTCTATTTTCGAGAGTAGTAGAATTAATCCACACCCATTACAAATTTACCATATTTAGAATTGCTAATGAATAATGCAGAGTACATTTTCTTTATTATTTTTTAGTGGCAGTTAAGCAATTTGTGTAGGATAATATTGTGGAGATAAATTATAAGGAGAATATATTGTCAAATTCAGAGAAAGCTTATATGATGAATTTTAGATGATGTAAGGTTATTTTGAAATCTAGTGGAGTTCAAAACTACAATGAAAAAGCAAAATAGCATGGAAAGTGGATTGAACTTTCGATAGATTTTTCTAAGTATTTTAAAAATAAAGTAGAACAAACTAAATCTGTTTTGAAGGAGAATTTTTTGATGGATGTAAATGCAATCAATGGAATCTAATATATCGAAACAGTTCAGATTCTGGATGGAATGTTATGTAAATTGATTAGTTATTCAAATAATAGTGGAGGAGGATAATATAATATTAAGGGTTAAAAGGTTGGCAATTGGATTGAACTATACGATTAAATTAGGTAAATTTATTTTTTTTAAAATAGCCATATTGATTGTGAATGGAATATTTTATACAAAAACTTTTTAGGAAAATATGACGAAGATATATATTTTGTAGAAAATAATGGTTCATTTAAAAATATGTATATATATTAAAAAGTATCTAATTAGTTACAATTTAATATATAATGATAATTGTGCTTTGAAATTAAATAAGTGGGTAAATTAAAAGTTAAATTTTGTTTAGTAAGAATTTTATAACTTTAAGGCATAATAAAATTTTTTTTTTAGGTTCGTATTTAAATGGAAAAAAATAAGGAGAATGGAAGATTGTGTATAAGAACTCAATAATGTAATAATTTAAAATAATTTAAATATTAATTTAGAGGAGGAGGAAATTATGACGAAAATGGATAAAAGCATAAAAAATGGATTGAAATATAAGATATTATAGATGGGTAATTTAGTGTTTATACAAAAGATAATCATTTATAAAGTTTATAGGGGAATATTAACATGGAAGAAGAACAGGAAAATGGTAATTTAGTAGAGTAGAATATTTAAATACAAGTAATTAAATTATGTATAACTATTTTTTATTAAGTGGAGGTGGTAATTTCGATGAATTTGAATTAAAATAAGGAATTTGGAGTGAGTTAATTACAAGTTCAAATAAGTACTATATTCCATTATTTTTTAAGAAAACATAGACTAATATTTATTGGAGAATATAAAGGAGGAAAAAAAATTGGAAAATGGATTATAAAAACAGCAATATATTCCAACGATGATTAAAAAGAACCAAAAGGAGGAGAATACGATTCAGAAGGTTAAAAAATAGGTAAATGGAGAGAACCTATTATTAATTCTAAGCAGTATTATTGAAATTTAATTTAAAGAGATTGTTTAATATACTAAGATGGGGAGTATAAAAGCGACAAAAAAATAGGATACTGGAAATTTCAATAAAATATTAAGATATAACATAGAGTTGATAAAGATAAATATGATACTATGTAAATATTTATAGAGAAATTTAGTGGAAAAGGAAATTATAATGAAAACGGAGAAAAAATTGGATTATGGATGGAGTTTTGTGAAAATTTTAAAGAGTATTATTATTTTAGACTTTAGTGATTCATAAATAATTTTTGAAGGAAATTATTAAAATGGCAAAAAATTTGGAAAATGGATTTCTAAATATAGATATTGTGAAGATTAAGAATTTTAAGAGATGTTATTATATTCATAATTTTTTAGAGGAGGAGGAAATTTTAATGAAGAAGGAGTTAAAATTGGATATTGGAAAGAATTAATTTAAAATTTCTCAGAGTAAAAAATAATATTATTTTAGTACTAATTAAATAATTTTAAAAGTAAATTATCTAGAAGGTAAAATTTATGGATAAGTCTAAATTGAATTTAGGAAAAGCTAAGGAATTTCATTCACATAAATGTTTATCAAAAATCTTATATAAATAGTGGCAAAGGTTTTTATAACTTGTTTAAAGAAAAAATTGGAATTTGGATTGATCTACATGATGATTTTAGAGAGTAAAATTATTTTTTAATAAAGCTTTTGTTAAATAATCTTAAAAGGAGTCTATAAGAATGGAACAAGATAAGGACATTGGGATATTTACTTTAGAGAATTTTATGAAAAAGAGTTTCTTAAAATGTAAATTTAAATTAAAAAAAATAAGTGGAGGTGGTAATGTTGAGAATGGGGTTAAGAATGGAAAATGGATCGAAATTGATTCATAATTTTGCAGGTTTTGTATAAACTATATTAGATCGCGATAAATTATTAAAAAAGTAAAGTACGTAAAAGGAAAAAAAGTAGGGGATTGCCAAATTTTATACAGAGACCACAAAACAGTAGAATTTAAAATAATGTAATTAATTCATTAATTTTATAGTGGAACAGGACAATATGATATTTTGGGGAAAAAAGTTGGTTATTGGTTGGAACCACATAAAAATTATTGGGAGTATAATTTAATTAATTGTTTAATTCAGATTTTGTAAATTGTATTGTTTTGGAACTTATAAAAATGGTATAAAGTAAGGTGTTTGGAAAGTATCAACTCGATAATCTTTTGTAACAAATGACATTATGTAAATGATATAATATTTCAAGTGGCTTTGGTACTTATGATGAAAAAGGAAGAAAAAATAAATTATGGGTCGAATTGGAATAGAACAATATTCTTTTATCTAATTCTGATTAATCAAGTTTAATAATAGAGATAGGAGAATATTAAGATGGTAAAAAGATAGGAAATTGGCAAACTCATTCTAATAATTAGATATTTTGTTTATAGTATGATGAAAATGAATTGAAAGATGGATTGTGTGAAGAGTTAGATCAACAATTTTTTCTGTATAATTTTTTTATAATTAAGTAACAAATTTGCTTACTTATCCAATTATTCGCATGGAAAAAAAATTAGATCGTCGAGAGAACTATTAAAAACTATTTAAACTAATTAATAAGGTTTAGATTAAAAATTATGATTTTATGATTTTTTATAGATAATATCTGCTAAAAGTAACCAAAGCAAACTTATATTAACATTTCTTATAATCTCAATTAAGATTTTCCTTAAAATATTGAAAATTAAAATCGTAGGCAAAGTCAAAAATAAGAAGAAATTATTTATGATCATATTTACCAATAAAGAATAGCATTTAAATATGAACAAAAGCTTTTTTATTTTAATAATAATCAAAGAAATATAAATGATTAATTATTAAATAAAAATATTATTTAATAAAAAAGCTAAGCTTACTTATATAATCCCTTTTAATTTAAAGAGATTTAAAAATTTAATTTAAGAGATCAAAAAAGGAAGAATAAAGATTATAGTAGAAAATAGATTAAACTTAGAATTCCAAAAAAGTATACAAGCTTAATTAATTTGCTTACAATAATTTTTTAAACCTTATAAGGAACAGCACAAAATCAAAAAATCAGAAATATAAAAGTGTTTTTAATTTGAACAAAACAGAAAAATCAATAAACCATTGATAAAAAAATATAATTCATATTAATCATTCTTCATTCATTGAAACCAAATATCCTTGATCCCAATTACCTTTTATAACTTCATTTTTCAAAGTTGTAAATTCTCCATCTCCATGAATCATGCCATCATCAAATTCTCCAACATATTTTTCTCCATTTGATAACAAAAGCATTCCTTATCCATGCATTTTGCCTGCTACAAATTAACCTAAAAATAAAATTAATTTGATAATTTACCTTCATATGATTACCAACCATTTCCAATAGTTGTCATATTATTACAATCAAAAGCATTATCAATTTATTCAACTTATAAATTTTACAATCTGCCTTATCCTTCATAAAAATTTTATTTCCAATATCCTGCATAAACTTCTCTTCCCTCATTATCAGTTAGCATACCAAATCCTTCTCTTGTTTATGGAGAATAACCCTAACCCCTATAAATATAACCATCTTCATATTATAATGCCAATTCTATGTTTATATAATAAATATACCTTATAATTCTCCATCTCCTTCATTTTCTTCTTATTATTTTGAAGTATCTGATTATTTATTTGATTAAATTCTTTATTATTCTTGATTATTATCATTATTATTATTTTTATTTTCATTTTATCTTTATATTGGTATTTAATTATTTTCTGTTTATTTCTATTAAGAAGGATGGACTAAAATAATAAAACATTTATATACTTTAATTCTTATTTGGTTATAATTATTAGTGTTATGGACCTTATTATTGTGATTGCTAACTTTATTACTATTATTATTATTATTGTTATTGTTATTATTATTATTATGTATTAGTATTAGCATTTTTAATTCTTTCCATAACTTATTCATAAGTATAAAAGCCTTATCTTGATGGCGATTATAATATTGGGTTTTATTATGGTTGTGATTGTTATTAAGATGACATTAAATTGTTTCTGGAAGGAGATGCAAATCCTCTGGTTGGACTTTAAAAATTTCTTTAAGGTGATTGCATTGTCTAACTAACCATAGCAGGTTGAACAGGTTTAGATACTCTTGGTATTTAGAATCCGTTATAAGATGAATATATAGGCTATTGGTATATTTATGGCACTTGAGGTGGATGATATTGTGGTCTATATCCCATAATTGGTTATTAATAGACTCTTGGAGGGCAATAATAAGGTTGTCTTGATGAATATGGATAAAACATTAAAAATAATTTTAAAATATGAATCTTCTTTTATTATTTATAATTAATTAAATCACAATAAACTTTATTCAAAGTGAGCTCTTAATTTTTATGCTTCTTAATTCATATCTTCTTCACTTCTTTCTGTCTTCTAGTTTTCTGCTTAAGATATCTAAATCTTTCCTTAAAATGGGATTATATGACAATGAACACATGGAACAGTTTATCCAGCATGAATTCCATCTTAAATTGAAACATGACAACTTGTCTCATTATTTATTTATGCTTTTACTTTATAAATATCAGACATCACTTTTGCTACTTCTTAAACTGTTATCCAAAATTCTACTGTTTCAACTTCTGTCATATCATACAATCTCTTTACAGGTCTTCTTGAACATACTAATACATGACCTTTTTTAAATTTATTAATATCAAACCTTATGCTGCAGGCTTTAAATTTACTGTTGCAAATACATGTCTTCTTAAAATAAATAATTGTGAATAAGGCAATTAAATTGTTCCAAACTAAACAAATTATTATATTTGTTTTGGCATTTTATTTTATATATTATCGTTAATTTTCAATAAATAATCATAATAAAACCTGATCATCTTCATCAATTTCTTAATCAAGCTTCATTACTTACTGTAGAAATGATCAAATTGATGATTTTTTATATTAATATGATCAATTAAATCAATGAAAAATATATTAAAATCATTTTCGATATGCATATTAACTTATTATAAATCATAAAGTTGAGATTATAAATTCTTCAAATCATTTTGAATATATACAATCAAAAGATTACAATTTAATAGAGATAGATTTTGATTCCATTAATAAATTTTGGATAGCATCATTGTTTATATTTAAATCCATAATAAATGATAAATAATAGATGAACAAGTCAGATTTTTGATCCAATAATATAAAAGAATGATAGATGTTATTTTATGGTAAAAAATGAATAGGATTCTTTGATTATATACATTATCACTATCTCTATTGATTGGTTGTTGTTATTCTTTTCATTTCATCATATAAAACCAAACAAAGAGAACTTCCTATTGCTCTTGCCATATTTGAAGCATTTCCTTTCATCAATCCCATAAATCCTTCTGTTTTCATAATCTAATTAAAACAATCAAAAGCATTCTTATATTTTTTTGTTACTCCTGCTGTTTACATCATTAATTTTCTTTTTAAAGTATCTGTTGGATAACTTAAAACATTTTATTATATAATACCTTATAGTTTCAGAAAAGATCACAACACACTAGGCATAAAAGAATTTCATAATCAAAGATTTTGCATCACCATCTTTTATTATTCATAATTTATTACCCTTGAAAAAAATATCTCTTCCAGTGTCATATATACCAAAATATAAACCTCTATAAATAAATATTCCTACAAAGCAAATACCTATTCCTTAATACCATCCTCTTATACCATCAGATTTATAAATCTAATTATAGAAAAAAAATAATTTACTTTTGTTAAACAATCAACTAATCCTTGAAATTATCTTTCACTTTTTGTTCTACCTAAATCTACCCCTAATCTTGTTCTTGCTAAATCCAATGGATAAACTATTGATGTGCTGCATGTTCCTGCTAATCCTCCTGATAAAATATTATAAAATAATTGAGATGAATGCTACTCTAAATTAATTAATCAATATTCATACAATTATTGTTCTTTTTTAACAATTTTGCAAAGAAATCTTTAAATGAAAAATTCAAAGCTTGAGTTGGGAAATATCTTAAAACATTCACTCCATTTCCTCTCCATAGAGAAAGAACCCCATCTTCTCTTACACATCTTAAAAAACAATCTGTTATTCCAGTATATGGTTTCGTAAGTTTGACATTCATATTGGCGGTTTACATTAATAATTTTACTCTCTCTATTGGAGCACATGTTGTCTTTGCTATTGCACCGGATAATCCTCCTGATAAAAAATCTATAAGAAATTAGTTTCTTTAAGATCTATTTGTGTTAGACATTCAAATAAATGTTTAAATAATAATTATAATCAAGATTATGATTTATACTATTATTATATTGAATTTTAATTATATTTTTACTACTTTCACATCATATTTTAATTATATTTACAAATCTAATAACAAAAATATATTACTAATTTAAATAAGTTGTGGAGCATTCATTCATTTAATATTATAAACAGAACAAATAGATAATTTAAATTAATGAAAATTTTTATTTTATGTATGATATTATCAAATATTTTATTTATTTTGGCATTCAAGTTATGCTTTTAAGACTTTATAATTTTCATCTAAATCTTCCTAAAATTCTAATTTATATAATACTTAAGTCAATGAAAATTAAAATTATACATACTTTCCTGATTTGTTAGGGTATATTAAATATTAAACTACATATGGAGTAGTTGGATTCATTTATCCCTATCTATTCTTAATAAATTAGAATCAATACTGAATTTGTTAAGGTTATTGTGGCTACATAGCAAAGGGATTTGATTGTGCAACAGGTGAAAACATATTTTATGGAAATTACACTTGTGTAGATGTTTAAATTATTTATGTGGGCTATGGTGTTGGCTATGGTGTTGGCTATGGTGTTGGCTATTCTTTATTTAAAGTAACATTTTATTAATTTAATTATTCTTAATTTTATTAAATCTATTTTTTTTATTATTACTATTGTTATTAATTTTATGATACTTATTCTTATTATTAATATTGTTATTGTTAAAATTAATATTATTATTGTTATGATTACTAATTTGATTATGAAATAGATTCATTTTAGTCATAATATTATGATTTATTTTGATTTTATTACAATTTAGATTTTTCTACATATTCAATATTCTACTTTTCTTCTCTGTATTTTGGTTTTTATTCTTCTATAAATTAGGGATAAGAATTCTCCTAAATTTTTTATGAATAATTTTCATTCTTTTGATCTTAATCTTGATTTTTATACTAATATTCATAAGTGAATTATTGTTATTGTTAATTTAAATTTTCATTATCAATAGTATTCTTTGGATAATAATATGATTGTTATTCTTAATGATAGTCTTAATTGTTCTGTTTGTATTTTCCTTCTTTTTTTTTATAATTACTTTACTCTGGTTTCCTGTTTTATTAATCCATCCATTATTGTTTATCTTTTCTTCCAAATTACTATTATTTGGGAGGACCTTAAATGTAAGGAGCTTATCTCTAAAAGAAAGGTGTCATTTCATTGTTCATGATAATTAATAAAATTAAATAATAATAAAATTTTAGAATAATGATTAGTAAAAAGAATGATATAATAGGAAAGACATAAAATAAATGTGTTTTGTTTTATTATATTTATTTTATATGCATATATCTATCCAATCATTTCAAATTGGTAACATCTTGTACAGTTTGATTCTTGATTTAAGATTATATAAATTACTTTACCAAGCAATTCTTACACTTAATTTGTAAATTTGGTTTTCTCAGCTTCAACTTATTCTTAGGTGAGATCTCCTTTAATGAATGCAGATCTCAATTCGGAATTGCATGATTCTGAGAGATCGTAATCACCTTTAGCAAGTCGTTATTCAGGATGTTCATCATTTACTCTTCCAGTTAAAAATCCAGGTCCAAATTAGAAAGCAAATTATCCTAATCCTGCTTAGAATTATAATATAAATTTGGAAAGAAAGTATGGGTCTGATTTTTGGTTGGCTTCTAATTCAGCATAGAAAAATGTATCAATTGCCTTGGTAACAGCCTCTCCAACATCATCAGGAACCTAATGGAAAAGAGAAGAGAATACTTCATATGGAGTTTGCATCATGGCATCAAATACTGTTGCTAATTGTTCTCTATTAAAATTGCTGAGTTGATCAACAGTAGCTCTCTACAATGAATCCCAGAAAAGTTCAGATCCCTAATTATTAACAGCAAAATGGTGAGCCACATCAGCAATTTCAGCAGGAGTCAATTGTTTTGGTTGGAGGGCTTAATTATGGTAAATGTTTACTTGTTTCGATTTATTACCATTAATTTGCTGCAGATGTATTGGATAGGGTAAGGAGTTATTTGACTAATGATTACATAATAATTTAATTAATGATATGCGTAGAGTATAAATATTAAATAATTTATATCTTCTTGATGAGGAGTAGTGGAATAAATAAAAATAAATTTAATTAAAGATCTAATGAATAATACTCGTCCATCACAACTTCCAGCTACAAAAACTACACCATCATAATTACCTTAGAGTGGATAATAATAAATACCAGAAGGTTATTAACCATAAGTTGGTTGGGTTCCAGCATCTTCATAGATTCAACCAATGGGTATTAATCAAGCTATTCCAATATAATAAACAGGATTATTACCAAATTAACCATATTTGTAACAACCAGTTTATGGTTAATAAGCTTTGGTTCAATCAAGTGGTCCAGTGGTCAGTTAAGGAAATGTAAGAGCCATTATTAAGAGTTATAGGTTATAAAAGGTGAGTCTAGAATAGAGTATATTCCTTACACAAAGGAAGTGACTGAATATGTTACTTAGGAAGTTGTTGAATACGTTCCAAGAGAGAGAAAGATAACAGATTATTATGCAGTTGAATATGTGACAGAACACATTCCCCAAGTGATATAGGAGAAGTATATTGGTAATAAATGAAGACTATGACAGAGTATGTTCCTGTAGAAACAGTAAAAGAGAGAACAGAATATTAAGCTGTGACAAGATAGAGTGTAATTTAATAGCCAGTTGACTATCAATAGATATAAACAACACAATAATATTAAGGTAAATCAATTTATTTAGTATACTTAGTGCCAGCATAAATATAATATGCAACTACAACAACTAATCAATATTTTCCCTAAACCTAGAGTCAATTTGCAACAACAGTTCCAGTGACAACATCCTAATATATTCCATAATAATTTACATATGCTTAATTACCAGCAACATAAACTGCCATTTTTGGTTAATAACCAGCAACAACAACTGCCGTTTTCGGTTAATAACCAGCTATAACATCAACAGCTTATGGATAAATACCAACAACAACAACCACATATGGTTAAATTGCTCCTTAGATTACTTATGGTTAATTACCTCCTACAACAACAACTACAGCTTATGGTTAATTACCATAGACTACAACAGCTACATATGGATAATTACCATCTGCTGCTTATGGATAATTACCATCTGCTGCTTATGGTTAGGTTACTACAACCTCTCAATAATATAGTACTGGTTGGTAATAAGTATATCCATCAGCTACAGGAAATGTTCAATAGACATAATCAAATAAACCAGGTTTAAGTCCAAAATATGCATGAAAATATAAATACATAATTATTCAAAGTTATTAAATAGATCCTTATATTTTTTGATAGAAATATATTAATATATATCATTTATATATCATTTTGCTCTAGCAAATCCAACTCTATCATTGTCTCTGTCATATACTGAATAAAACTTGCTTAAGAATGTATCTCCTAAAATCCAAGCTGGACCTTGAGGTGAAGGAATATCTAAAGGCATGAAGGATCCAACACATTAGCAATTACCTCCCATTTCTACAAAGCTATCAACACTTGCAAAAGTATCATAAGCAATCTCATTTCCTTAAGAATCAATTTTCATAACATAATCATTAGCATCCAAATCATAATTAATTCCATCTAATACAAATGTTAATTTTGGTAAATCTCTTGCATTTTTACAATTTTCATCAATATTTAATGTGTCTAATAAATTCATTGAATTAAATAATACCTAATAAATCATATAAATCATCTGATGGTCCTGTCAATAATGATGTACCAGTATCAGCAACTACTTTGCACCCATGTTTACATAATCCTAAATCTTATCCATTCACTAAAATATTATCAGCCTCCAATAACCAATAATATTTATTAACAACATTATGAAAATGTAATTCTCCTTAAAAGTGATCAGTATCCCAACCACCAAAAGTTAATTCTGATGATCTTGAACCTTCTTATCTTGAAAAATAGAAAGAAAACACATTTCTGTCCAACAATTTCTATGACATTATATTATCAAATAATGGGTTGAAATTATATGCAGCCATTGAAGGATATGCTAATCCAACAATACCATCAAAATCAGATTAAGCAAATACATCACCATTCTCTCTTACTATTTCAGCAAATTCTTATTTTGCTATCTTCACTCCACCTACATATGCTGTATCAGCATTAATCTATTAATTAATCTAAATTCTTACTTCTCCCATCAATTCACCAGTACCAAATTCTACATCCAAATCATATCCTAAATGTTCATATGTAGAACTCTTTGATCCATCATATTATTTATGATTTTTGCATCCATAATCATTACATCTAGCTGAATTCAACCATATATTGGCAGATCCTGTATCGAAAATAACCTATATTCATTTCAATTCTTACCTTAAATTTGTTATCCTAACCACCCAATCCGATTTCTCCTGTATATTGAGTATTCTTAAAATTATACAATTTTATAGATTCTTTCTATTTTGTTTATGTCATTGCTAAATCTGATCCATCTAAAAAGTCTTCAGAATTTCTGTATTATTAGCTTGTTGTAATGAAATCAAATAATGACTTTTTAGCCTAAAATTCTGTTCTTTCAAGTTTTATCTTATAGATTTTATTTTCCATTGGCTATTGTTCTTCCAAGAATGAGGCACAACTGCCTATTGCCAATAAAATGGCCAAACCAATAACAAATTTCATTTTTTATTATTAAAAAATTAATAAAAAACGATATTCTTTATATACTCTAAAAGTGCTTAAACCAATAAACTTCTTAAAATAAATTCAAACCATTCATTTCTTTTTTTATCTCAATTTAATCTAAATTTTGGCATAACATAAAACACGTATTAAGTTTATTATGGGATAATCAAAAATCTTACTATGATATAATAAAATCAAAATAATAATTCATGAAAGTATATTTTGGATTGATCTTTATCATATATATTCTAAAAATAAAAATCTAAATAAGTTTGATCAATCACTCTATTTAATGAGCAATGTTCTATTGATTGGCTATAATCATAATTAATATATAATTATAAATCAAATAATACGAAGTTCAGCTAAAATTGATTAAAACTTTTAAATATCCAATGGTTTATGAAGTATTTATAGCATTCCTACTTCTTTGCATTTCTCTACATCCTCATTACTTGTAAAAGCAGTTAGGCCGATTATAGGAATTTTAGGTATCTATTGATTTTGCATCATTTCTCTTAACTTTCTAGTTGTTTTCCATCCATCCATAATTGGCATTTAACAATCCATTAATATCATCTTATATCCAGTACATGTTAAACAACATTTAGTGGGATTTTATACCTTCTCGATTGCTTATCTACCATTAAATACCTAACTTAACATAATAATATTTATACAATATCGACATTCATCCCTTGTTAACCTAAAAGTAATTATAAAGATTTTTAGTTAAATACCTCATCATCGACGCTTAAAATAGTATTACAACATAAAAGAGTTGATCCTGTTTCTTTAAATGATAATTATTATGATGATTGTCTTATACCTAATTAATTATTATTATTAATCTTATAATTGTTATTATTTTTTAATGGAGTAATGCAGGAAGGTTTTCTTTAATTTAATATCTCAATCGAACAATGTTTTAATTCATACCGATGTATTTTAGCTGAAATTTCTCTGATTGATACACTTGATAAGTCACATTCATCCTATTCACTGGTTTTTGACAATAAAATCTTACTTGGAGATTTAGACCTAATGCTAATAAGTAATCCATATTCAGCTCTTAATGTAGGCATACTTCTCATTCTCGGAATAAATTTTTTTGATTATTAACCATAAGTTTATTCTTATGTTTAAGCTGAAACATGATTCGATATTATGAACTGAACAGTTGTTCCTGTATCTTATCCATCTGATTCAATCTTTATGCTATTTCTATTTATTGGAGATAAGTATCTTAACAACATCTAACAAATTATCAAACCAAAACCTTGCCATTATTATGTTCTTGTTGTTGTCTATTGCTCCTAATTTATAATTTATCTTATTGATGTAAGCTATTTCCTTGTTAATCCTATTCCTTCATCTTTTATTGAAAATTCAATCTCATTTAAATCCCAACTGTCTATCTTTACCAATACATACCCAGTTTCAGAGTAGGTTAGAGCATTTTAAATTATATTTGTTAAAACTTACAGTAATCTTTAATAATCTGTTTTTATTTGAGTAAGAAGAGACATAGGTCTGCTAATTTCGAAGGCCAAACCTATTTGCTTAAATTGAAATTAAAATTTAAATTGCTCTGTTATTTCATTTATTATTTTTTATAAATTGAATTAACTGAATTTTAGATCTAACAATTTTGCATTTATTTGACTAAAATCTATTATGTCATTTATCAAATGATTTTATAATTTTAAAGCAGATAAACATGGTTATAAATACTAGTCCTTAATTATTCGATCTAATTTTGTATCATTGATAGCTGTACGTAAAAATATTGTTGCACTATTCAAAGGAGTTCGTAATTCATGTGAAAATGATTAAACAACCTTAGTTTTAAACTTATTTTTTTCTTCCAATTTTGACAATTCATTTTACTTTGTAAAATCTTGAATTATTACCATATAGTCTATCTTTTATTTTTCTTAAAATAGGACTCTACAATCAAAAAATACTTATCTTTAATTATTTGGACTTTCAAAAGTTGAAAATAATTCAATAATCTATTCTTCATCATTTAATAATCGATCTAGCTATCCTTCTTCTATTTTTTAAATCAAGTGAAATAGACAATATTATTCATCCTCAAAAAGATTTGAATCTAATTATGATTGATTTTTTATATTCTATCTTTCATTCTTAAAAATAGCTGAATGAGGTAAATCATAAGGACCCACATAATCAATTCTTTTGAATTTGAGATGATTCATAAATAATTAATAAATAGTTTCAAGATTATAGTCACTTTATTCTAAACAATTCTTTTTAATCATATTAATTAATGTGTTATTCATAAATTTTGGCTTAATTTCATTGCTTATAATACATATACCAATCGGCATAGCATTAATTCTTAATTTCCAAACTTATTCATTAAAATAACTAATCTCTTATAATACAAATTATCTATCCTAACTTGACCCGATACGACGCATTAATTAATTGATATCTATGGAAATATTTTAATCTAAATTTATTGGATTGAATTCATTTTCTTCCATTCGAGAACGAATACGAAAGTACTCCCTAGCAATTTAAGTTCTAGGACTTGATTTTAGTTTTTCTTTTTCATCTTTAGGCAAAAAGTATTCTTCCAAAAGTTGTTAAGATTATGGTAGGAAATACATTAATGGTATAAATATTGCTACTAGAAATGAATTAAGATCTTCATTCCGATATTTTAAACATACTAACAGCGTAGAAGTTAACCCACTTATAACTTTCCATATGTGTATGAACAGTCTATTATTTAAATAAGTCTAAAGGAAATGATCATCAAGAACAATTTATAGAATGCTTTCATTTTATTAAGTTAGTACTCCAACCAAAAACAATATTACCTTATTTAAAGCAAGTCCACATAACACCAGTTTATCATACTTTATAGCTATTATATTAATTATGGAACAAGCCAGCCTTATTATTTAAATTATTTCTCCTTATGCAATTATGCTTAGAATAGAGATTACTATAGAGATTGTAAAATAACCATAAAGGTTTTTCATTTTTAATTATAATAATATCATTAAGTTTAAAATTATTCTTCGCATTCATTCTAAATAACTTTGCTCAAAATCTTTTACTACAACATTATGTGCTCTATCATTTATTTAAATTATATACTTATCAATCCATTCATTTTTAATTTATTGACTATTGGATCATAGTTTGTTTAAAGATAGAGAATTTTTAATTCATAATTACACTACATAAATGAAGTGTTCTAAATCTCAAAAAATATTATTTCAATTAATTATAATCATCAAATTTTAATTCAATTATGAATTAAATTATTCTCTACCTAATCTAAATAATAGCTAATGCAATTAATATAAATATTTAATCATAGTTAAAAATCATTATTAGTTTGTTTAAAGATCCTTATATAATGCCTTAATGTTGAATTTTTTAGTGAATGAATTTATTAGATTTTGAGTAGCTTTTTTATATTAAGTATTTCTCTATAAACTAAATATAGAAAATACTTTTTATTTTTCCTTTTCAATATTTTCCTCATTTTATTTCTTTATAGTATTCACATCATCTGATGATTCCGTTTTTTTTAAAGTTCTTTCAAATCTTTTGATTTAATACTATGTCAAAGCTAGATTCATCTTATTGAAGTGAGAATGCAACTGCCATCTTTATTAACTGTCAATTTAATCTTTTGGTCTTTTAAGCAATTCTTCATTCATTAGATGACTAGATTTAAAGCTTTTAGTTGGTAAGCTAGTTTGGAAATATTATAATTCATAAGGAATATTTTTTAATCTTTAAGCTCTCTTACTTTCTTACATTGGAGTATACAATTGAATTCTTCTACCTGAAGATATCATGATAGTAGTCATAGCATTACAACTACCTATTTCATTAGATCCTCCTGATCTTGTTGTATAAGCCCATTCTCCTTAGATTAAGATTTAATCGTACTTCTTTTTGGAGAATCTAATTGAGTTTCAATCTCTAATTTAATGCAACCCTCAACTTTGGGCAAGATTATATGTTTACGAATTGATTTCTCTTATTACATTAAATTTATGTTAAAATATGTCAAATATCATAAATTGATTGTGAAATTTTATATACCAGTTTAGAATATTGTTTTATTTAACAAAAACTTTCTTATCCATAACTTAAATAACATTGGCCATCATTTTGGATACTTGAATTAATATTTGAATTTACTATTGTAAATTTTAACTATCCCAAATTACTACTATTAAATCAATTCTCTTTTAAGATTTAAATCAAGATTCATTCTTTGACCTTTTTGATTCTTCATTTCAAAATATTACATAAATTTCCTTGTATTTCTTAAAACCTTAATTTATTAATTCATAATAACCCTAGCACACGATTAATAAAATAAAGAATCAACATATCAAATTTTAAATAACTTATTGCGCTTTTTATTCAGGAATTTAATTATCTTATTAATTATCAGCAATGTATTCATTTAACCCTAAACATGATAATTTTTATGCTTTTGTAATTTATCATTTATAATTTCTATAAATCATACTTGTTTAGAAAAATTATTGAATTATTCTTATCCTTAATCTGCTTCTTTTATTATTAAAGTAAATTGTTTTGTTTTAGTTGGATGATATAAATCATAATTAAAAAAAATGTTTATTATTCACTTACATCAAAATAATTTTAATGAAGTCTAACGATTTTTAATTCAAAATAACAAATAAATAGATATATTAGAAAAAAAAGAGAGAAACAAAATATAATACATGTTATTTGAAAAAAAATATTAAAATAAAATTTTATTATTATTATTTCTGTTATAGTTTTAGAATGGCAGAATCAAGAGCTTAATTTGAGAGTGAACTAAAGAAAAAACTGAGTCTTAAATCTCCTCATGAAGAACAAACACTATTAAAATCATTTCAATATTATGATCTTAAATAGTCGAATGTTGTTAATTAATAACAATTCGAAGCAGTATTAGAAAAGGTTGGTATCACTCTTCCAAAAGATGTATATTATTTAAATATTTGATAGTAAATTGCTTCTTTATTTAAATATTATTAATAGAATGGGTAATTGAATTACAAGAATTTTATATCTAAAGTATACTAATCACCAGAATCAGCAGTATTTTATTTTTAAAAAAAAATGTGGGAAAATGGATTGGATATGTTTTTTGATTGGCTTGAACAATTACATTCGAAAGAGTATAATTATGCATAATTTAAATACTTATTTTATTAATATCCTGAGGATAAGATTAGAGCTTTATTCTAATATTTTAATTAAAATAATCTTGTAAGAATTGAGGAGGTAATAGAAGCATTTAGAGGAGTTGTTAAACCAAGTGGTTTTAAAGTTGATTCTTTTAATATAGATTAAATAATTGAAATGTTTAAAGGTGATAAGACAAAAGTAAGAAAGTATTTACAAAGTTATATGAAATTTAAGAATATAAAATTATTATCATAAAATTAATTTGATGAATTTAATCATATTTTAGAATTAGGAAATATTAAAGCTTAATGGTTGGGAGAGAGAAGCACTATTTATACTCCAATTAGAAAGTTAGATTTTAATGAATTAGATTTAACTGAATTAAGAAGAGCATTGATTAAAAAGGGACCAAAAGCATTAATTAATTTAAAGAAATTATTAATTCAAGCAGATGATGATCAAGATGGTTATTTAACTGAAAAATAAGTTTAGAAAGTTTTACGAGATTACAGATTTCCTCAATAAATAGGAGGAGTCAATATTTAAGATTTCTTTATTGAATTATTAGGACCTTTTGATTAGATGAATCTTGTTAAATAAATATTTGAATAAATGGATATTGATATGGATGGTTTAATACCTTATCAATTATTAAAATAATGTTATTAAGCAAGAAATCATCCTGATGTTAAGAAATAAATAAAAAGTGAAACTGAATAACTTGCTGAATTTTTAGATTCTTATGATGCTCATCATAAAATGGGTAGTAAGAATGTTACATTCTCAGAATTTTATGAATACTGTCATATTCTTTATGCTTGTTAACCTGAATAATTTGAAAACAATTTGATTAATGTTTTTACTTATGTTAGGCCACCTTCATAATAAATTACTAGTGTAGCATAATATGCACCATTTGGAACAAGTGCTGAAAAAACCGATTACAGTACAGCATTGAGACCATTGAGTAGCTAATAAAATTAAAAATAATAAAATATTATTCCTGCAGGATTAACTTATGCATAATAATAATTATAAAAGATTGATAATGTAATAGAGAAATTGAAATTAAAAGGACACAGAGGCATTATATATATGTTAAGGAATATTACTAAATATGATGCATAAGGGATATATAATGCTTTCAATTCGATAAGAATTTAAGTCAATCAGTAATATATTAGATAAATTTTAAATCAAAGTATTTTATATAATAATAATTTCATAGAAAATGAAATCTCTATGAAAATATTTTTAGAGAAGATTTTAGGTGAATTCTAAAATTGGAGATTGAATTTAGTTCAAATGGCTTTCAGAAAATTATAGTCGACAAATTTTGAAGATATGAAAAGTATATCATGAAATATCTTTAGAAAACTTTCTGGCAAGACCTAGATAAAGAATGTCTGATGATGAAGTATTGATAGATTTCTTAGATACATTTAATAGTCATCATTAATTATTTAATTCAAACAATGTAACATAAGAAGAGTTTGAACAATATTATTATATAATGAGTTTTTGCGTTATTGATGATAGAGAATTTGAAGTTGCTGTTAAAAGTGGTTGGATGGTATGATACTTATTACATTTAAATTTTTTCAACAATATTCATATTTATAAGTTGGTTTCTTAAATATGTTTTAATTTCAATAAAAATTGCTAAATAAAATATGAATCTACCCTTTAATAAATGGTCATTAAACTTTTAACACTAAGAATAAGAAGATCTTTACTAAGAGTATATTAATTAATATAGACTCAATAATTTTAAAATCTTTACTCTGTTGGTTTGTGTTTTATGTTTACTATTTTTGATGGTATTCTTGATTGAAAATCAATCAACGATGATAGTAATAATGATTTCAGCTGTGGTAGGATCACTCTTTCTTTTATATATGCTAAGTCAAAAACTTACTCCTTATTTGAATTACATTAATTTCTTTCTCTTATTATGGCACATAGCCACTAGTTTAGCTATTTCTAAAAGTGGAATGTAAATGTAAGTAAATTCCACTAAAATAGTCCATAATACATGTATGGTTTCAGTACTTCCACGTTAGCTTTGCCCATGTTACTATATAGCCATTTTAAGTTAAAGATGTTTGCTATTTTGTTTATACCAGCAGTTCAATTAGGGGTGCTTGACATATATTCAATTGAAAATTTAGAATTTATATTCTTAGCATTTTTTGCTTAGATATTATTGGCAATATAAGCTCATAATAATGAATACATGAAAAGACTTGCTTTCTCATTGGAGTAAATTAATATCAAATATAAGTATAACTAAACTTTCTAATTATAGAGAGATTATCAATCAATATGTGGGTACTCCTTTTTTTGCCATTAGTTTAAGTGAAAGTAGATAATTATTTGATTTAGAGTTTGCAAATAATGAGGCTCAAAGGTAATACCTCATCAGTGATTCTAACTTTTTAAAACAATTTATGAGATTCAATGTTTTCATTGAGAAATAATTTAAAACTGAAATTGATTAATAAACTTTAGGATGTAAAAATACAGAACGGATTCTAATCAAACCATTTATTAAAACATAATAAACTTTAGAAGATTTTGTTTTCAAATTTATTAAATAAAGGAATAATATAGAAATATCAATCGAAGGGATATATATTAATAAAAATTAATCAACTCCTTTAAATATTGAAATAAAAAAAACATTTTTTGGAAAACCTATTCTACTTATTGTCATTAAACAAAAAAATACACCTAAAATCATTGAAAAATATGAGTAATAAATTCTTTATTACAAAACAATCATTCATTAAATTATTAAATAAACAGCTGAATCTCATGAATCTTTGTATTAAATTATAAGATTCTACAAAAATTAAGATATTTTAGATAAAATCTAATGTATAAACATTTAAGCTTTGAATAACATTAAAAATATCATAGTACTTATTAATAGTGATAAAATCAAAATTTCTAAATTTGAATATTAAATAATCAATTTCAATTAATATACCCAAAAATTAAGTTATTTTTTAGCAAAATTAGCTAAATAAAATAATAAAAAATTTGAATTCCTGAATTTTATTGAAGAGAGAATTCAAATTTCAACTCAATAACATTACTTAACATAAATTATTCTAAATTTATTTGAATAAGCTTTAAAATATTCAAAAAAGAATAGTTTGATAAAATTATAGGTCTCTTAATTAATGTTCAGTGATGAAAAGAAAAGAATCTAATATAAATAATAATAAGAATAGTAATAATCATCCTCATTAGAGCATAAATATTTAATAAAATTTGAAATCTCATTTGCAACCAATAAATAAATTAATTTGATTCCTTTAAAATAATAAATCTTAGATCCTAAACTTCCATAAGACTTTTTACATAATAATTCAATAGAATTTGAAATAAGTTATCCAATTTGTACATTATTACTTAGCTTATTGGGTCCTTATAATGAGATTTTTAAAATTTAGGATTTGATTGAAAGATCTGCAAATGATATTCTTTTTTGCAATACCATAAGCTTTTTTATATATTCAGATTAATCACAAATTAATCAATCCTACTTGAATTTTATAAAGTATGTCTAATAATGTTATTGATTTATTATTTTTATGTATCTTTTATAATAAATTTATTGTGTATTATATTTTAGATTAAAAATTAGATATAATTATATTTATTTTATAAATAAATAAAATGGACAATTAAAACCTTATAGAAAGGTTAATGGAAATCGAAGCATAGTGTAAACAGATTAGGAGTTCTCTATATTCAATTTAATCATACTTAAATATATAATTGATCATTGTGATATTTAATATATCATTTCCTTGGTTGTATGAATATTAAAAGGAATCGATTATTTATTTAAGTTGGAGATTATTGCAATATTCATTCCATTTATTTAGTGTTATATAAATAAAAAAAACTGTCGAGATAATATCAGAAGGCTCAAGACGTTTTATTGGATAATTGAATGATTAAATTGATGTTTGGGCTGCAGTGAAAGGGAATCATGGAGCATTAAGTAAATGCAATGAATTTGTTTATATCATAATGTTTGGTTTAGGGAATGTAGTGTTTCTATAAAATACTCTATTGTTAAGTAAATGGATTTTAGTAATTTAATTGATTTTTGGATGGATTTTAATAGCAACAATTGCTCTTGGATTACTTGCTATTTGTTTTATAATGCCTATATTAATTTATAAAGAATATCGAATAAGAGGAGAAGAAGAAATGAGAAGAAGATAAATAGTAAATAACTTAATAGGAAATTAAATGAAATACTCTGATTTAGAAAATCCAAGTTCCTAGCCTTGTTATATTTGTTTATAAAATTATTGTAATGATGATCTTATTATTAAATTATCCTGTAATCCAAATCATGTATTTCATTCAGATTGTATTGAACCATGGGCACTAATAAATGATACATGTCCTGTTTGTAGATAAAGATTATAACAATAATAATGATTAGTTAAAAACTTGATTACTATATTCAAAAGATGATATCAGATTTGATTTCTTAGTTATATTTTCTATAATTTAAATCTTCCACTTCTAAATATTTATTTATAAGGGGAAAATTTAACTAACTGCTCAAATTTTTAGTTGTTAGTAATCTAATTCGAATTTGATCTTTATTTTTATTATAAAATAGGTATTTTACAATTACCCATAGATTATGTTCTACTTCTAGTTTAAACAGCTGTTGTTGTCTTTTTTTACAACTATAAACTTCTTTTCATAGGAGTAAAATCATTAATTTAAGGTTTAGTTTCAAGATTGAGTGTTTTCATACGACATTATTAAGGATTCTTTTAGATGATTTTATTATTAGTATTATTATTATTATTGTTATGATTATAATTTTATGCTTCAGCTCCTGACGTTACTGTTTCTTCCTCTAATTCTTAAATTTCATCAATATTATTGAATTTCCATTTTCTAGTTGTAGTTTCTTGTGTTTTCATTTTCTATTAAAATTAAAATCTTGTATTTGATTTTTCAACTTATAAACCTCTATCCCATTCACCTTTATAAATGATAGCTCCATTTTAGTACATTTCACCATATCCCTACCTATAATCATCAAAATAATTTCCTTTATAAATAGTTCCATTAGACCATAAAAATTCACCATATCCACATTTTTTATCATTAGAATATGCTCCCTCATATCTATCTATTTTACCTTAACTATTAGATTACCAAACACCATGTCCATGTCTCATTCCATCCATAAAAAAACCTAGAATAAAATTGTATTCTTCACCTTAATATAAACTTCCATTCTTCCAATAATATTCTCCATATCCATCTGGCTTACCATTTTTAAAACTTCCTACATATTTGTCTCCATTAGCAAATTGTTCTTATCCTAAACCATGCTTCATAGATTACAAAAAGTCTCCTGTATATTAATCCCCTGACTTATGAGCTCAAAAATACCATTTTCAGATTAATACACTCCTTTTCCTTCAACAAATCCATTATTCCACTCACCCTTATACGATGTATTTTATCCAAACCATTCACCATAACCACACTTCTTTCCATCTAACCAATTCCCTTTATAACTCTCTCCATTAGCCCATACATATTCTCCATAACCATTTTATTTATTATTTTCATAATTTCCAAAATATTCAGCCCCACTTTAAAATTTCTCATATGCTAAACCACTTTTTTTATCATTTTACCATTCTCCTACATAAATTCTTAAACAATCCAAAAGTTTTAAAATACCTATTCAAATATTATTTGAACTACCTGTTCCATGCTTCATTCCATTTTATACTTATCCAATATAAATAGAACTATTTCTTTATTCAATCTAAAATCCAGGCTGTTATGATAGTTTCTCTAAATCTACTATTTTTGCAATGTCTGCATTTTTACTCAATAATTCCTTTATTGTATCATCAAACTTTTCCATTTTAAATAATTATTAATAAACTAATCAATTACAGAAGCAATCATACTAAATATAATTCCATAACTTTAACTATTAAATTCTCATTACAACATCAAATATTAATCAAATCAATTTTACATTATATTAAATTAAACAAAAATCCAAAAACCTTTAGAATATAAAAACTCAGATACACTAATTTTAATATTTTTAATAATCTAATCTTTATTTACTTTGCTTTTATAAAATATCCATATTGAAAATAGATTATTTTAAATTAAAAGTATATATTTATTCTAAAATACTTGGATTGGAATGTTTGATCATATCAAATCGTATTTATTAGATTAACTGCTATTTTATAATTATTTAATTTAAAATGCAACAAAATATAGTTTTTGATATTTCTTCAGACAACAGTTCTTCATCAAATGAAGATGAATTCATTAAAATTGATCAATAAAACAGCTCAGTAAATTATATTTCAAATACAAATAGATTTTAAGTGTAAGAGCTCCTAATTTATTTGACAGCGATACACCTTAAAATTTTCAATAAATTCCAGAATCTACACATTCAGTCAGAAAATAGCCTACAGTCACATTTGACACTATAAATACAAGTGAAGGAGAAAAAAGATATTTAATTAAATGGAATCTATAAGAAAAAGAAAATAGAAATCGCAATACTTGTATAACCAAAACACAATTAAATGAAAAAGGTAGAGCAAATAGTAAAAAGCATGTTAATGAGAGTGTTGAATATTTATAAAAATAGAAGACTGATTAATAATAACAAATTAAGTCTAATCAATGTAAGTAGTTGTTATTAATAACAATTTAGATAAAAAAAGTTAGTAAGCTAAAAGAGTCTCTAATGTCTGTTATTCTTCAATAGATAATTTTTAGAATCAATCTATGGCATAAGAATTATTAGAATTAGATTTACCTGCTCTTATTTCTTAAATTACTAATAAAAGAAGAGTTAATAATAGTTTTCATAATAATACTAATAATACTGTATATAATTCTAATGCAAAGTATCATTATTATTGTTAATGTTAGCTAGACCCTAAATGCAATAAAAGTAAGGATGCATTGTTCGATAATCATTTAATAAATAAAGTTCTTAATAAGAAATCGCTATAGTTTAATAAACAAGAGAAAGATCAATCACTTTGATTTTGAGATAACCTGGCAAAATTGTTAATTAAAAATAGTTAAAAAGTAATAGCATTGCTTTAAGAAAGTGAAGAAAGGTGAAGATATATTGTTTTTACTTTTAATTATTATTATTAATTTTTTTAATTAAAATGAATTGTCTTTTCTGTTAGCCGATTCGGAAGACTTTATACGGCAATAACTTTGAGAAAATGCAGTTTAAAGGTAGACTGAAATTAAATTAATTATCAAGAAAGTATCCTTACCAGAGAGGATCACTAATTCTCTTTATAATAAATATGCTGAATCACAAAACTACTATTTTACTAAGGATATCAATGAAATCATATTGGATCAACCAACTAAACCTAATATAGTATTCAAAGTAAGAATCATCAATATTATAATTAGGATTTAGCATTGTTGGATGAAGAAGTTGAATATATTAAAAAAATATATCAACCTCATAGTTTAGACAATAAAATGGAAGTTTTAACAGAATTTTACAAAGTATAATTGCAATTAGATCTTTTAGTTTCATAACGATTTACCTAGATGGGCTGTTTCTAGTTCTATTGTAAATATTTTGAATGAATATTATAATTAAAAAAGGAAACTCGAATACTACAAAATTTAGAAAATAATTGATGAAGAAAATAAAAATAATCCAGAAAAACCTCCTAAAGGAATAGTAGGAGATGAACCTATCTAAACAGAAAGTACTCCTCCTTCTCATACAATTGAAAGTGGAATCATTGTTGGAAATGTATTAGATGAATTATAAAATACACCTTCTTATTCAAAACATAATTAAGAAAAAAACAGTAAAAAAATTAATAATAATAATAATAATAATATTCATTAATAACTTTTAAAAATTGAAAAATTGAAAACAGAAAGATAATAAGATAATAATAATATAATCAAAGAATTCAAATTATAATAATTACTTACAACTGATAAAATGAAAAATATTAAATAATTAATAACTTCTTAAAAAAGACAATTAAAAATCATTCATCCTGATTAATGTGGAGAGTTAGATCCACCAAAGCCAAAATTAAAACATCAATAAATATTAGAATAATGTAATTTATATATTTATGAAGTACATAAAAGAGTAAATGAAAAGATCTAATTAAAAAAAAAAAATTTACTATAAAATAAAGATCCATCTAGAGAAATTAAAAGTGTTCATTTTGGGGAAGACAAAAAAGAAAACTTTTTCAAATCTCCTAGAAATATGAAAACTTAATGTACTTCAAAAATGACACCTAAATCTAATAGCAAAGTAGGTAAAACATAAACCTTTCATGATAGTTCATCAAGGTAATTAAATGTTTTATAAATTATTAGAAAATTGAACAATAATCTATTATCAACTAGAAATATTGGAGCTAAGACTTGTCATTAAATAAGCAATAATATCAAAGCAAAAATGCAATCAAAACCTATATCATTTAAAACTCTTACTACCCCAAGATCTATCTAATAAAAGTTATCATAATGAAAAAAGTGAATCAATTATATTAAAATATTTAATAAATTTATTTTCAGTTTAAATATAAAATTGTTTTATTCTTTAAATTATCAATTATTTTATCATATAGTTTTTGATTTTCTTTTATTTCAAAATTATTTATTTTATATATGTTAATTAAATTGTATTTCTCATCTAATTTCAGAACACATTTACAATCTTTGAATATAATATTTAAATACATTAGGAATTTTAATTAAACCATCTTTCATTTAAATCTATGTATTCAATTATTTTTTCATTCTAAATTGTATGCTATATGATTTTATCAATAAAATCTATATCCATGGTATTATTTCCAAAATTTTGACATATCCTTATTTTATCATCTTATTTTAAAATGAAATAAACATATTATTTAGCTAATTCTTATATATTACTTTCTTATTGAATTCTTAAAAATTTTTTGCTTTAAATTAGTATATTATAAGTATTGTTTTCATTATCAAGTTTATGATCAATTGATAATAAAAAGTAATCAGATTAAAAATTATAATAAAACAATTAACTAATTCCAATTTGAAAATCAATAATTTGTTTAATGTTCATTTCTGTCAAATGGTTATAGTTGTTTTTATTTTTGATAAATATTGTATGGGTTTCTCCCAATTTTTCATTCGTTTCTTATACATATTTTCCACTTATTGGTTTATGATTAAGTCCAAACTTTAATTCTATTTAATATGGTGAACAATTTAGGGAAGAATTCAATTTGAAAAATCTCCACCTCCATAGATCTCTTTTAATAATTTAAGCTAAAGTTAATGCCTTAATTGGTTTTGTAAAATAGTATTTGTAGATAGAATAGTTTGTGATTAAAAATAAGGAACTCCAGCCCAATATTGATGAAATTAACATTTTTAATTTTGTTATTACATTTATATATAAATATTCTTATATAATTTATGTAAATCAATATTTTATAGTGGGAATAAAACAATGCTTTAACTATTTAAGAATAAGCCCTAATAGATAAAATGGAGAGTTAACAGCAAAAAGTACCTCAAGAAAAATAAAAAACAACTAGTTTTTAATTTTTAAAGAAACACGATAAAATAGATGATGACTTTTATAGATTAGAAATTATCTAGGGATAATATTAATAGAAATTATCATCGCTTTAAAGTATCACAGAAAATTTAGAGACAATTTGTGATTAGTTGAAAAAATTAAATGATGATAAAGATAAGATTGTTCATAAAATTAGTTAATTTCATTAAGAAGCTAATATTCATATTAATAAATAAAAAGAATTAATGGAATACTAATTTTAAATATAAGAGAATATTCAATATTATTATAATATTTAAAAAATCTCAAGGGATTTAGAGAATGATGATAAAAAAGAAATTAATTATTAAGTATTAATAAGTGAAATTTAAGATGGTATAATTTTCTTTTCATCTAAACCTAATTATTATTAAAGTGATAAATGCATAATACAATATTAATAATTGAAGAAGAGATTATTAGGTATTTGTAAAAGTTCCTTAATGAAAACACTTAATAAAGAATCTTAATTTATAAATCAAAAATTTGCTTAATTGAAAGATTTAATATGTGTATTTTATCCTCCTAGATTTTTTGGTTATTCTGATTTTAATGCAGATGATAACAATTTTCTTTAACCAAATCCACTGAAACTATAATTTTTATAAATAATGTTCCCATAATTAATTCCATAATTGAAGTTCAAGGATGTTTAAAATAAAAATAATTATTAATATGAAGATGAATTTCAAAAATTCAACATTACTGAATAAATGAAAGATTTATTTCTTTACATTGAGTCTTAAATTTAAGGAGATTAAGATCTATATTTATTATATAATGATGTCTTTTTGTAATACAATTTTTACAATAGATTAAATTTACATCAATAAATAAATGATTTAATTAATAAGTAATCAAATAATGTCAGCTAAACAGGTTAGATTTTATTTAAGATAAATTAAAGTCTAATCTAATAAAATTTAGTTAGTAAATAACATTTATAGAAATAATAAGAAATACTTGTATTTGAAGCTTTATGTGGAATTATTTTTGAAACTACTGTAATTGAAGCAGTTTATTCAAGAATTTTTTTTAGATTAAATTTAAGAATAGTAAAAGAGAATGATAAATAGCATTTATCAAAAATTTTGGATAATTATTATTAGACAGTAAGAATATTTTTATAGAAAATATATAATTTAGATTAATTAGTAATGATTAGTGAATCATTGACATAATTAAAAAATCATACAACAAAATTATATTAAAAAATTAAAGAGAATTCTTTAGATGAAAAAGATTATTTATTTCCAATATTTTAAATAATCGGATAAGGAAAGGTATTTATATAATAAATATATTAAAAGGATTAAAACTAAATTATAGAGTGTTTTTAGAATTATTTAAATATATTTACAAATTTATTTGTAGAGAAAATAAATTTAGATATAATTCATAAATCAATATAATCGTCATAAGTTTAAATTTAATAAAAGATATATTCTTATTCACCAAAGGATTACATAAGATAAAAATAGAAATTAGTGATTCACAAATTTTTAAAAACTCAGCCAATTCCAAAGGGATATGAGATTTAGAGAAGTGATCTTTATCCAGTAGTAATATTTGGATTAGATCTAATAACAAAAATGTAAAGATCAGTAGATTAAGCCATATTCAGATAATTAGCAGGTGAAACATTGAGAGAAATAAATTCTTAATTAAAATTAGTAGCAGAACAATTTGATGTATAAAATTATAAGATTTTAGGTGAAATTCGATAGTTACATATTTTATTTAAAGAATATAATCTATTTATTTGATGGATTATCATAATTAGGAGGTGATTATATTGTAAAAGAGAGTGAACTTGATTTTAGTGAGACAAAAGCAGTGCTACTTTAACTTATTACAGGTTAATTAAGGCCTGAAATTTAATGGGTTGAATTAACATCTCCTGAAAAATTATGGACATATATAACAAATTTCTTTTAATTTGTATATAAGGGAATGCCTAAAATAAATTAATATGAAGTTGATTGGAAGAATAATCTTATGAATTAAAAGAATCTAATGCTTTTTTAATTTGTTAAAGACATGACTTTCATTGTTGCGAAAACTTTAATTTAATATATTAGAAATTATTAATATTTATAACATAAATTAGGGGAAGGTAAAAATTGATTTATAAAAATAGAAAAGGATCAATTAAAATTAGGTTAGGCATAAAAAGATTTTAATTTATTAATATCATAAAACTAAATCAAAAGGTCTTATTAACTTTTTTATGAAAATATAATTGATTTTATTTCAGAGATAAATCTTAAGCTTAACAATTATTTAGATAGAAACACATTTGATTAGATTTAAGTACTAATTAAATTCAATTTAGATATACATCAAAGAAATAATATAGAATTCTTTATCTTTGTTAAGTTAATTTTATATAATTGTATCAAAACATTATGGAGGTGAAGAATATGAGAATTTCTAATTTAATTCTGCAGAAGAGATAATTTAACAAATTAAAATTGAATATTTTGATTGAGATTTAATAATTACCATAATATATATATATATATAATTATAAGTATTTGGAACCTAAATTTAAAAAAAACTGATAGAATTACAAACATTAAATCTCATTATAGCATTTACAATTATTTATTAATTAAAATGATTTATGGTTAATGCAAAATCCATTATGAAATAGGAATTGGGTTCACTGAAAAAGGAGAACCTTATTGTGACTCATGTAGGAGAGCTTAAGAAGAAAATGTTTAAGAATTTATATAAAAAAAAAAATCTTTGCTTAAAACAAAAAAATTGATTACTTTAGAAAGATTTAAACAATCAAAAAAAAGAATGGTAGAATTATAAGAAAATCTTTAATTAAAACTGATTGAACATTTTAAGTAGATGGACAAATAGAAAGAAAAGTTAGAATCGTATTTTGTAGAATAAGAAAATAAAATTGAATTATTTAAGGACCAATAAGGAGATTTTTATAAGTTTAGTTAAAATGGCAAAGTTTTGTCTAATTAGGATACTATTTATGGTTAAGTGGAAATGTTAAATGAGTAAATTTGGAATCTTGAGAAAAATTTTGAATAAATATTAACTTGGTCTGTGAGTGATTACACTGGTTTAAGTTTTGTATAATAATAATAATAATAATAATAATAATCTAACCCATAATAGATTCAATAATAATAATAGTTAATACCTGAAAGTATATATGAAAAATATGAGTATTAAGAATTTCTTAAAATTGGGAATGTTGATTTTGATGGAAAAATAATAGCAGTTAACAAAGATAACTATATTATAGCCTATTCAGAAGATTTTGAAATAAAAGTTTATTAAATTTAAGGTGAGACAGTAGTTAAGTATGAGCAAGATATTGATGATGGTGATATGACTTTGATTACGTGCTTGATATTTGGTAATACAAATAATTATATATATTATGGTAATGACAGTGGTAAAATAAAAATATGGAAACAAAATGATAAAAGTTGGGAAAATTTTGATACTATTATATCTCATGATAATAAAGAAATTATAGATATAAAACTAAATTAAAATGACACTAAATTATTCACAGCTGGAGCGAACAAAGAAGTTATATTATGGATGAAAGACGATATGGGAAAATGGGTTGTAAATAAAAATTTCGAACATCCTTAATTTTATGCTATGGCTTCAATAGCAATTAATTCAGATTGTACATATTTGATTGCCTCTTCTTATACATAAATTTAAATATGGTAAATAGAGAATAAGCAATCTTAAGAAATTGACGGAAAAGAGACTAGTAGAGAAAATCAAGTTTTCTTTATTGATGATGAAATTATTTGTGTTCATAATCCAAAGGAATTGTAATTTTATTAAAAAGATAATAAATAACAATTTTAATTATTGGAAAATGTTATGCCTTAAGATACTAAAATTCCAACCCTTTTAAACTATGATTAAGAATCTAAAATTATGCTGGCTTATAATAAAGAAAAAAAAAATGTCTCTGTTTTAAGATTTATTGATGGAAAGTTTGTACATCAAAGTGATACTATTGGAGAATATGATGGATAGTATTTATCCTATAATGCTAATTTCACTCTATTATATAAAAAATCTTAAAAAGATTTACAAATAATGAGATTAAAATGAAATGAACATTAAATATAAATAGAAATAAAGAATATTTTTTATCAATATTTCATATATATTTTTCTATAAACTTTTAATTTTTAAGGTTTGAAAAAATATATAGAATAAAATTAATAATATATATTAATGCTTAGTGGATTCAATTTTATGTTTCTAAGTTTGATTTTATTGAATTTTGTTTCAAGTGAATTTATTCCAACAGATGAAGCAAATTTAGCTTTATTTAACATTATAAAATAAGCTTATAATTCTGGTAAATAAATATCTATTAAAAATAGGCAATTTCGCTATAATATATGAATAATTGAATGATGAAGCATAAAAGACTTTATCTTTGAAGTAATTTGATGAAATTCTAACAGAGAAAAAAGGAAAAACAGGCCCAATTGAATATTGGACATATGCTTCTCCAATTCCATAAAAATCTTATTTTATAATTGGATTTGAAAAGAACTTAGCAACAGGATTAATTTAATGGGAATTTGATGATACAAAATTTAAAGTATTCTTGATAAATGAATTTACAAATCCTACATTTGTTGATTTCTTAAGAAAAAACCCTAGTCGTACTTCCTTAACAATAAAATCAGATGATAAAGAAATACTTAATTATTAAGGAGATAGATAATAAGATTTAATGAGTGTATTCAAAATTACAGTAGCAATAGAATTTTCAAGATAAGTATCTGAAGGAATAATTGATCCTGAGAAATGGATACCACTCAGTGATGTTAATAAATACTATTTAAAAGATGTTGATTCATTTCATACTTAATTTTTATAAATATGGAGTGATATGGGAAAAATTAAAGATGATAAAATATAAATAATTGAAATAGCTATTGGTATGATTTTATTCAGTTCAAATACAAATACTGAATATTTATAAACTCTTTTAACTATGTAATCAATAGAAAATACAATCAAATAAATTAAATTAGAGTAAACTCAATCATATTATTTATCATCATACTTTTTAGTATTTTTAAATTATGAAAATAAAGAAAGAGAAGAATATATTTAATAAATTTCATCTTTTACACTTTAATATGTGTTAGATAAAACTAATTAAATTCATCAAATTTTAGAATAAGGAGGAGATGAAGCAAATAAGTTATTAGCTAGAGGAAAAGAAATACTTGATGGAGAAATATTAGGTATCTAAGCAAAATACTTTACAAGAGCTTCAACTTAAGCTTATGTAAATCTTTTGGATTAACTTAACAATTAAGAATTATTTAATACAAAATTCTATGAGAATTTTTATCCTTTAATTGGCTATGCTTCTATGTAAAATCCATTTCTTGCTAAAACATATAAACATGTCGGAGTAAGATCATTATTTATTCTTAGCTTAAAGGTGGTTCATCAGCCTTTCCAAAAGATACTAAATGTGTATTAAGTTTGGCTTAATTTTAAGAACTTTATAATCCATTTCCATATAGTAAAACTACATTTGCTATATTTACTGAAGATTTAGATTATGAAACAGAATATGCTCCTTTGATCCAATAATTTAATTATTTCACTGGATTGTTAAGTTTAAATGGCTATTATTTATAAGCAGTAGTTAAGGCACTTACAAATATTTCATAACACACAAATTTAATTGATGAATGATTATTATCTTAATATTATAAAAATTTATTGTTCAAATAAAATGGAAAATTAATTATTATTTTTTAAATTAAATCTACATAATATACAGACATATTTTGATATAGTAAAAATTAATCAAATTTTTCTTCCATCTATATTCTATCTTAATTATCTATTTTATTATCGCTATCTAAAAGATATAATTTAATAATATTACTAATATCTAATTAAATTTTAATCTGATGCATGTCTTTAATAGGTTTCGATAGGATAATAATGATTGTAGTTTTAATGAATTTGATTATATTATGGTTAATATTCTTATTTTATTTGTCTATCATTAAGTGCCTAATTTGATGATAAAGGTCTAGTTTATTTAGTTACTAAATTTTTATTAATAGAATTTGATTCATTTGGTCTTGTTTTAACAACTCTTGCTTAAATTGGAAAGACTTATGATCTTTCTAATTTTAATTATTCAACTCTAGATGGTAATGCAGATTAAGGATGTTATTATCTATCAGAAGTTAGTTTTTATAATTAATTAGATGAATATTTTAAAGATACTGGAGCAGCTGATTATGGAACTTAATATCTTTTGTTAGTAGGATTTTCAAGATGACCTATTGATTAACGAATTTATTAACTAGGATTATTAATATTGATTGATTAACTTATTTATGGTCTACATTACATTTGACTTTAAACAATTCTATTGCTAATAATTTATTATTATAATTTAAATTACTTATAATATTAAGGTTATTCTACTTTTCTTACTATAGGGGAATATGATTGTTTTTATAATCCATATTATTATTATTATCCTTAATATCTTGTTTAAGATATTGGAGAGACTCTTCTATTTTCTGCAATTACTCCTTTCGAAGCATCTCTTATTTATTATAAATCTCTTAACTCTCGATATTTTAAATCTTATCTTTCTTATTTTCTTAATTCTTAGATTGCTTTTAGTTCATTTTCTCTCTTTATTCTTAAATTTTCAGACTCATTTAATTTAACAATTTATGAATTCTTAACACTAGAATCTTCTAATTATCCTTTTTAATTACTTTCATATCTTTGTAATGGTTAAGCAGATTTTGGTTTTTCCATTTTTCTTGAAGCTGATGGTCTAGGCCCTTCAACTAATAAAGGATGTTTATTCTATCTTTCTATGTAAGCTATACTTTTAGTTATATCAACAATTTATCTATCCTATCTTTAACTTATTCTAGAATCTTATTATATTTTAGAAATTTATTATGGAGATCTAAAAGGACTTGATGAATTTTCTGTAGATTTATTTTCAATGTTTCTTTCAAAACTAATTATTTCATTCTCATATTTGGATTTTGGAAATTAAGAGTTTAATTATTCATTAGTTTTAGGAATTTAAATGGTTTTTAGAAGTTCTTAATTTTATGTTTGATGATTAATATAAGTTTCAATATCTCTCATTTTATTTTAAATTATAGGAATTTTTAATAATTCGTCACAATTAGGTCTTGATACAGATTGTGTTTTTAATAACAAAGAGATTATTTAAGCAAGTTCTTTAGAATATTTATTTGGAATTTAGTCATACAAACCTTTTTAAACTTTTTAAAAAAGGAGATCCATTTCTTTAGCTCTAAATGGTGTTTATAAACAACACATTTCATATAGAACACAACCTAATGACCTATAATAATCTAATAAAATTGATATACCAAATATCACTTTTCGAATTGTAAGGTTCATCTCTCCATACTTCAGGACTAGCATAATATGGTGTTCCAGTTTAAGTATAAACAAATCCTTATTTAGCTACTTTAGACACATTTAAATCTCCCAATTTAAAGGTGCCATCACTAGAAAGGAAAACATTTGCTGATTTTAAATCTCTATGTACTACTTTCTAATCATGAAGTGTTTTCAATCTAATTTAACTACAAATTCATACCCTAAGATCATATGAATTAATGCCTTCCATATATCTTATTCAGAGAATTAAGGACCTCCCTTTAATGCTTAAGTAATTCTACGATACACATCTCCTCCTGATAACAGTTCCATCACAGTACATAAACATTGAGAATCCTCATCAAAAAAGGCTTCCTATTTTATTAATACTTATATTACTTTATAGGCTACTATATATTTACTATTAATTGAAGCTAATAATCGAACTTCATTTAATGCATTCTCTTTTTCTTTTTATTTTAAGCATCCTAATTTCACTTTCTTCAATGCATATTCTTAACCATCAACTATTCTTTTTACCTAATTCTATTATCTCAAAATACCTTATAAACTGTACTAAATGACCCTTTCCCTAACTCTTATATTATTTAAAAATTCTTCAATGATGATGTTTTTGTTTATTAAACGTTCATATTTTTTATTTTATATATAATATAATCCTATAAACTATCAAACCTATAAGGGTTCATCACTTCTAGCCTATTTATTACTTAATTCTAAAAAACTCTTGTTTTCCAATTATTTTTCTTCTCTTATTTTTATCAAATTCGAAATTAATATTACATATACTACTATAATTCCAGTTTGCTTTATGTAACTCATACTCGCTCTTTCAAATTAATAATCCTTTACTATTGTGTTTATTATAAGACTTAAACATCCTATTACAGAAAATCTAAAATAATCATAAATCATTGATTCCTTATCATTTTCAGGTGAAATTGTGTCTGTTAATTCATCATCAAAAGGATCATGCTATTTGAAATTTACATTAGTCTTCACATCTCTCATCTTATATTATTTTATATAAAGGCCATATTACACTAAAAATACTACTCCATAAAGTAACTCTAATCCCAATAAAACTTAATATTCTCTTTTTTTCTTTTAATCTATCTAATAAAAAATTATAATCTATATATAAAATTTACTATTCGATTTATCATTTCCAAACTTGAATTTAAAGGATAACCAAAACAAAATAATACTTTAAATATCGTAATTGGTTTAATTGCTTATTAATCAACATTTTCTTTTTTCTAATTCTATTCAAACATCACCAACCAAGTATAAAATATAATTGTTTAATTTATTAATTCTGTCAATTCTCTATAAACTCCTGGATAATTCTAATCTAATACATTTTCTAATGGCAAACAATTTAACATCAAAGTTATTAAAAGTAACTTAGTTAATTTTTATCTTCGTTCTTTATACATATATTATTACATTAAATTCGCCTTCTTACAATTTTTCTTAATAAACTTTTATAGATAATAATATGAAAAGAGACAACTTACTAAATAAATTGCCTTAATCAAATCATATTTATACATATAAACTATGTTCTATTCTTTTACCAAAATCCATAGTATTTTTTACTGAAAACAATAGAGTGTAAAGAGCAAATTAAATCACACTTCTCAATTTGTTATCCATTAATATTATATTCGATTATTCTTAACAAATTTATAATAATTAATATCTATTAAATTACAAAATTATTCTCCAATTTTTATGAGGAATCATCATATAATGAATAAAATAATCAAAATCAAGCTCCAGGCACTATCAAAGCATCAAGATGACAATATGGGCATTTTTAACCAACTTATACTGATTCTTTACTGAAAACAGATTCACAAGCCTTACATCTTAGACAATCAACTTTGGAAATGCAAAGCAATTTAAATTAGCATATAAAGAAGTCTTTATTACATTTATTGCATTTTTTTATTCCTTTAAATGGAAAATGACTTTTACAATATGGACATGTCAATTTATATAATCCAGAATTCTTTTTATCTTAAAGTTTTGATAATTTTTATTCGCAATCTTTAAGTAATTAATTATCCTCCTCTGTCAATTTTACCTTATCTAAACTCTACTTTAATTAATTTAATAATGTTTCTGCAAGAGCTGTATTTTCATATTCAATACAAATAAATATTGATTAAATAATCCAATGAAGTTTATGACTTGGAATGATATTTTAATGAATCAAAATTAAATGCATATAAATTTCTTTTTTAAAATTACCTTTCTCATGCATTTAGTTAATCCCAATTAGTAATTAAAAAGCAAATCTATATTGAGCACAATGAACTATGAATTTTTAAATCTAAATTTATAAAATAATTTTTATACTCTTTATAGTTTTTCTTTATTTCCTTATAAATAATCATTTAATTTTTAAAAAGCTTTTTATAGATTCTCAACTCCTTCTTTGGTTTATTTTAAACCAAACTATTTAACAGCCTAATCAACAATTTGTTGAATTTCTTATATTGAATTTTTTTAAGGAATTTATTATTAATTTAATTATGCTTTATCTTATTATAATTAAACTTATTATTATTAAACATTTGGTTAATCTTGTTTAGATTTTTACTATTATAATTATTTTGGTTCTTCTTTATTTTTTTGTTTTTATTGAGGTTCTAATTAATGAGTTTTAGTATTATCATTTGAAAAAGATGAAAATTCATTATTAGTTTTTGATTTTGCTTAAGTTTATTCAAAACTTGCAAATTCACCAAAATCATTCCCCCATTCTCCTTATTTAACTTAAGAAACAGCAGCTTAAGCAAAAGCATTAAAGTTACTATCAAATTCAAAATTATTATTATTTGATATTTAATTTGGTTATGATCCTCCAAACCAACCAAAATCAGAGTTTGCTTATTCAATTTATGTAGTTCCTTATCCATCATCTTCTTATTATATTTGTATTTATTTAATTGGTTTTTCTTCTATAGATTCTAAAGCAAAATCTAATTTCAATCCTTAAAATGCATTTAATCCAGTAGTAGGTTTAGGTTTAGAATCCTATTTGATATCAATTTTAATTTCTTTTTATTTCTCATGAACTATAGGTAAAGGTTATCTATAACCATCTCGAACTTCTTTAAGTTAAAACTTTTATTTCCAAAATCTAAATTCTGTTATCATACATTTAATTACATTATATTTAACATTAGGTTCTTGAGTAGTTTATCCTAAGATTAAATTTTTATTTTTAAAAAGATCATGAGAAATTTCAAGTTCCTAACAACTAAACTAATATTTAGCTGCAATATATAAATATAAAACACTTGCTGATTATTCATAAGATAAACAAATATGATTCCAAAAATTTAATTTCACTTATGGTTAATTAATAGGATTATATTCATCATTTTCATCTAGATTAAATTAAACTATTTAACCATCAATAATAACTTCAATATTCAATTCATTTATATTAAGAATAAAATTTTAATCTACTTATAATATCTATCCAGATGATTGTAATGGTTTAATCCACATTTCAATTGTAAAATCTGATAATTTATTCTTTTTCCAATAATTCTTTTTTCTTGTTTATATACCTGCCTAAGGACCTAATTCAAATCCTTATTAAGCACTACAATAATTTCCCCATAAATCTTAAATATCCATTGGATCACTTTCTTCTAATTTTTCCCATAAATGTTCTGTTTCTGAACTAATTTCCTTATTTACATATATATCACCAACACAATTATAATTTCCATAATCTCCTATTTTATTACCTTTTCCTTCATCAATTCTCCAATAGATTAAAAGTTCTTAAAATTCTTTAGTATCATTTTCATTAAAATCATATTATTAATCTTATCTTTACTTTTCATCATCATTTTTTCCATCAAACATTTTATTATCTTAATGAGATTAAGGTTATCCACCTACACCTAAAAAGAAACCAATAGAATCATAAGTTAATCTATCAAATAATCTAATAACTTTATTATCAACAACTGATTCTTCATCATCTTCCTCATTTCTAATATCCTCATATATTAAATTGAATTTATCCTTTCCAAATTCTACTTTATTATGTAAAGATTTCATATTTTATATTTATTTTAACTTCTCTAATAAATAATCTGTAAAATAATGAGATGGTAACATATTTTACATATCTTAATTATTTTTTATTTGTTCTTATTATTATGTTAATAATTCAATCAATTACTTGATGTTATCTCTAAAGAATAGATTTCCTTAATTTTAAACTTTATGTGCTAATTAGATTGCTTCGTCATTATTAGTATACTCTTTAGTTAAATATTCATCAATATTATTTATCTATTTCTATTTCTTTAAAATTTATAGAATAAAATTTGGTTATTTATTAAGAATAGCATCTATCTCAGCAGCTATTTTATATTAAAATGTCATAAGATAGAATTACTTTGCTTATTCAAGTAGGACTTAAAAATATTCAAATCTTCTGTCTTTAATTTTTTTAATAAGTTGTTATTATAAATCTTCATTATTAATTATGCCTCCACCTCCAAAGAGAGTTTCACTTAAATTCTCATGATCTAATGTATTCATGAAATATTTAGCTTTTTGATGTTTTGTAAATTAATTACAATCATCTAGTTAAATTATAAATTTAGCACAAGATACAAATCTTTATTATAATATTATATTTTTACTATTCTAAATCTTTAATTAGGGAATAATCAATATTTGGATTTGCAAAAGTCAATAATAATTTAGTAATAGTTGATTCATCTACAATTTAATTAAAGAATCGTTTATTATGTATATGTCCTTATAAAACAGGTTATAGAATATTGATAAATTTAGTTTTTATTTCAATATTATTTTATTTTTTGGAATGACTAATACTATACTAATAAATGTTACCTCTAACATAGTAAAATCATTCTATCCCATAACAAAGCTGAAAGTACATTCTTTTCTTCGTAATTATCAATTGATTATATGGAAGCACAAGTCCCATTTAATAAAACATAAAGAATATGAAATTTGGTTTATAAGATAAGTGTCTAAGCCATCCAATAAGTAAGTAAAATTCGATTTCTAATTTTATTAGATTTAAATTACTTTTTATTAACTTAAGGTTAAAGTGAAATCAATTTAAGAGTATTTAGACTATCATCAACAATATAAACATTATGAATAGTAACTACTGCTGCTATATTTTAATCTTTCTACCAAACTAAATCTGTTAATTATTCATCAGTCCCAAATTTGAAACTCATTTCAATTCCACTTTACATTAATAAATCTAATAGATTATTTTCAGCATTTCTGTTTCTACTAAACTTCAATATATTTTCATTCATTGGTTAATAAATTACAACAAAACCAGATCTTAAAGGAGTCCAAAACATTCTTTGCACTTTTAAATTTAATGATTATTTCATTTAGTTTTGTAATTTATCTTTGTCTTATTTATTTAATAATTTTAACATATCTTCCTCTTAAGGTAAGGAATCTTCAAATATAATACTATAACTTGATCTATCCTCATAAAGTAAAAATAATGGAGGATTTGCCCAAGATTCTTATCCTAAAAACATTGAAAATCTAGCAGGATATTCCTTTAAAATATCTGATAAAACTCCTTCATTAGACATTACTGTGCAACATCTATAAGTAGTTTCTATTTTATAACTTAAAAGAAATTGAGTTCTTTGAGCATATTTAAGAGAATTTGGTCTAATACTTAATGAATAGAAGATTGGATTTTCAACTAAAATCATTTACTTTAAATTTGCAATAGATTTCAACATTCCTTTAGCTAAACAATATTATTTAATTTCCATAGTATGTTAATCAATATAATAGAGATACCTTTAGGTTAGTATTCTATTTTTTTCATCTGGAAATAGTTCTTGAAATGAATATTAATATTATTGAGAACTAACAGGATATTCAGCTAAGAGATTAGTATTATCATTTAAAAGAATTATTTAGGTTTTATATTAATAAAATATCTAACTTTAAAGTGTTTAATCAGGTAAAGTTTTAATTGAATTTAAACTAATAAAATTAGCATACGGGTGAATTTAAATAAATTTAGATAATCCAATATTAGGTTATTATCTTTAAGCATTATATTTAAGATCATTTTTAATAACTAATAGATTCTAGATTTCTTTGATACTACCAAAAAGTTCTTATTTCTTGGATTTAGATATTTTCTAATCTCGAATCATATCTTAAGGGACAAGTAATTTAATATTTAATAATTTGATACTGCCATCATAAAGATATGCTAGAAATTAATTACAATTGATAGCTCCATTATAATTAGCCCAATGCAAACATAATAAACCATTATTATGATTTTGTTCTAATTAATATATAGCTAATAATATATTTCTATCTCCTAAAGATTTAGCATCATAACATAAAATCTATGAATATAATTTATATAGGATACTTTTCCATTATCAGAACCACATAACAATTTCTAACCATCTTACTAGAATGCCAGGGATATAATAATATTATTTTCATCCTATATACTATTTAATTAAGTCTGTGTTGTTTAATTCCATACTCTTACAAATCCATCTGAACATGCACTACATATTTTATAATCAGTAGGATGACATTTCAAATCGTTTACATTTACTCGTTCAGGTAATCTCAATTTACTTAAATTCAATTCTAGACTATTTGATTAAATTGTATCATCTATATTCGCACAATATATATTTCTTTAATCCATAGCACTGAAGAATAGAATACCCTTTTTAAGTTGTTATATGCAAAACTTACATCCAAATTGCTCACATCAGCATGCTATATTTCATATCCACTTCTTCCCTTTGTCTCCCCTGACCAAATTGATTAATTAAATCCTTACGCACTATTTCCTAATTACCATATCTCCATTAAAGATGGCTGAAATGCCAATATTAAATATCCCTTCCTTTTTGATGTAATCAACATAAAAGGAGGCTAATTTGGTAATTACTTAGATATTATGTATCTATATATATTTCTATTATTTTTTACCTCTCCAATACAGTCTGATTGTGTAAATCTAATTCAATCAATTCATTTATTGGATTCTCACCTTAAAAACTTGGTTATGCCAAGTATATTATACTACTTCTCTCATGATTAAATGTTAATGCAAGAATACTCTCTTAAAGCACTGTTTCCATTTTAATTTTTAATATAAAAACAAATATTAATGTTAAAATTGATTGATAAACTTTGTAACACTCTCAAATTACACTTAGATCTATCTTCTACAACTAATGTATCAATCTGAAATTTAATATAGGATATTTTATAAACTAATATACTCAACTTTATTAAAGAATGTGTCATTTACATTTTTCATATTCCTATTGAATATGATATTGAATCATTTTTCACCATTTCTGATATCGATAACACTATGTTTAATATTCAATCATTCTTTAATTCAATTCATCAAAAGAACCATTTTAAATACATATTCAAAAATGAAGGTTTTTAATCAGGAGAATTAAGTTCAAGTGATGAATTTGATTCCATCATTAGAAACAAACCTAAAGTACATAAAGCACATTCCTTAGAACATAAACCTACTGATATACCTCCTAATGAAAATGATTTATCTTAATTAACTACACTCTAGCAATTATTGTATGAAACAAACCTCAAAGTAACCAAAAGAGATGAATAAATTTTATAAATGACTACAAATTATTTAAAAGACATACAACATCTTAAATCAATGGTATTCATATTTTTCTAATTAAGTTTTTGAGGTAACTTGAAAATCCTGGAACTGAGTTTTATGAAGTTAATTACTTTGATATAAAATAAGCTTTAGAACCAGAATTGTAGAATTATATTTAGGACAAATTTAATCTGTTATAAAAATAATGTTAATAAACTGTTTAAAGATATAAAATTGAATTGACTGCTTTGAGTACTGAATGTGAATCTCATAAAAGAACCATTTAAGTTTTACTTTAAAATAATACACTTTAATCTATTATTAAAATGTTATTTTTAATAGAAAAAGATCCATATAAAATTTGGAAACAAATATAAGATTAAGTTGGAAATAAAATAATTTTTCAAGTATTTGATAATTAAATTGGTGGCTACGGAATTAATTATAGAGAAATTGATGAACTTATTTCTAAAAATTCAGCTGGAGGTCGAATGTTTTAAAGATAAAAATAATTATAAGAAGAGTAGTTAAAAATTATGATAGATGATAATATTTAAATTATATCCAATTTAAAATAAGAAATATCAAATAAAGAATAAATTATTGAAGAAATTTAATTAACACATTAAGAAAATGTAAATAAAATTTAAGAATAATTTTATGAAACACTTGAATAGAAATTAAAAGAATAATAAATAAAACTTTCATAAGAATTTGAGATTAAATTAAAATTGCAATAGAAAGATTTGACCGATCCTCAATTAATTAAAAAAATGAGTCTAAAATTTGCCTTTGCAAGATGGGTCAATTTTTCCAAATTTTATTAGCTTTATTAATAAGATTTAGATGAAGATAGTTTATATGAATTGAAATAAAAAATAAATAATTATTTAAAATAGGTAAATGATGAATTTACTTTGAAAGATTATGAAAAATTGATATAAAATTATTAGTAAGCTCAATATATTGTTATAAAACTAGAGTAAGAAAAAAATATAATTGAATAAAAATGTAAATCTCAATAAATGGAGATTTAAAAACATAAAAATACAATTTAAATGTAATTGTAAATAATCCAAACATTAAAACAGGAATTATAAAATAATGAAACAACTATCAAATTAATAACTAAACCCTTTTGCTAAATATTACAAAAAGTAGGTTATCCATCAAAAATAAATTTGTTATCACTTTTAAAGAATGGAATCAATTTAGAGTTTTTATAAAGTAATGATCCCGAAATTTAATCGAGTTTAATAACTTTCTTCTAATTGGCAATTGCTTAACAAATAATACATAATAATAAGCCAAAAAGTGACGCGGAAACTATTACTGATTTTTTTGATGTAATATAGCTTTGTAAATATAGATTAGATATACTATGAGTTAAGAATTCAATGAAGATAGTAATTTTTAACAAATCAGATTATAGTCTACAGAAGCTCCATTAATATAATTATAAATTACAGAATATGCAACTAGTCCAAAAGAATAACTAAATTTTTCTTATGTTGAAAATAAATTTCCATTAAAAGCAACTCAGAAAACATCTAATAATACTAATTAATCTCCTAAATCAAATCGAATTTAAAATTAATAACAATAAAACAATATACCAAAGATTAGTTAAAAGAAAGATAGAAATAATGAAAGTATATCATAAAAAAGAGAGAAAAAAAGTTAATAATAATTACTAGATACAAATTCTAGTGGATTTTAGAAATAAGTTGATAAGATTAGAAAAAGAGATAATCTAATGATCCAAGAAATAAATTATATAGATAAAGGAATTTAAGTGAATATAGAATCATAATCAACTCAATTTAAAAATAATGCAAATGTATAATTTAGAGATATGGAAGAATTCTCTCCTTAATAAGATTATTTAGTAATAATGAGGGATGAAGGAGAGTCGAGAGCATCTTCAGTAACAAAGAGAAGAAGTATCAGTTAAAATAATAAGAAATAACAATTTAATATTCCAAATTAATTTATAAATAATCAAAACTTAACTTTATATTAGGCATCCAAATTAAAAACCTAAAATAAAACAGTTTTTTCAGATCAATAGCAAATTTAATAGAATGTAAATTAAGGGTTGGGATTCTTACCTACAAGTCCATTTTCATTTTATTAAGAATTGTTTAAAGAGAAATAAAAATTGCAATTAAAAAATTATACAATAATTAAGGATTAAGTAAATTAAAATAGTTACAAAAGAAAAGTAGAACCAAGTATAGAAGGTAAACATTTACAAATTCCAAATTATTTAAAATGAATATCTAATAAACTTATTATATCATTTAAAGTTTGGTTAATAGCCATAACTACCAACACTCCATTTACCATATCCTTTGACTTCAGGAGCTTTTTCTGATATTTTACCATATTTTTATTAATTAAAGTAAGTTGATTCATTTTAAGTTCTTGGATCTCCATTTCCTTGAAAACAGTCCTTATGAAAATGGAACCTTAACTTCCTACCCTCTCTAACTAGTATTTCTTCTCCTTTATAAATGTTTTATTTGCAAGCACGACAAGACCATCCGTTTCTACAAGCTACTCCACCACTCACAGTCCAATAATCCATAAAAAATTATAAATATTAATAATAATTTTAAAATCAACAATGTGTATGGGTAGCCCCTGTAATTGATGAAACTATTTAACATAATCTTTCCATAAGATATATGTCACGGTGCATATATAAATCCCAATAAGTAATATGTCCCTTTTGATTACCATCTACTTCTTGCATTAATCTTAAAATTTAAATAATATCTATACTATCTTGCAAATTAAAAATCTGTTTTTTTTTCAAATTGTTCAAGATCTGATAAAGTTAAAGTGTTTGGAATTGTTGGTTAAGCTTTCAATGTTTCAAAAATTACTTTTACACAATTTTTTGGTTGTTCTACTTATAAGCACAAACCTTCTAAAATAATACCAGTATCTCTATAATTTATCCAATCATCTTAATCTTTATCTAATTCTTTAAATAGAGAATCTCTATCTATTTATAGTAAATTTTGTTTTAATTAATTCTCAAATGCAAAATAACTAATTTTAACTCTTCCAGAATTAGGAAACAGAATAGTAAATATATGTTCAGGAGTAGCATTAATATAAGGGACTACTCTAAAATTTTAAACGAATTCAGGTCGATCTAATTTATGTAATAATGAAGGCCAATGAGTGAATAAATGTTTATACTATGGTAATGCTACTTTTTAATAATCTTGATAATTGAAAAAACTGTAGTATTTTTGAGAATCATTTACTAATATTTTATTTTCTGTTTCTTACAATTTATTTGAGTTTAATTGTTTTTCTTAGATTGCTAATATAGGTTAAAGATAAGATTAAGCAGTATTTATTTATAAATAAGTAGAATGTCCACTTTAAAATAATTAAGAAGGTTTGATTTCATTCTTTGGAGTTACGACTTAGATTAAAGGTTGAGGTTGAGAAATTTGATTTAAAATACTTTCATTTGATGATTCAGATTAGATATCATCTTCTTCATTGATATCAATATCCTATTCTTATATTAAATGTTATTAACTATTTTATAATTAACTGCTCTATTAGATAGTTTAAGAATTATCTAATTAATTATGAGTTGGTTGATTAAATGCATATTATTAAGAGACATTAGTTTAATAGAGATCTTTTTATTCGTTTTGGTTTCTATCCGAGAGTACAATTTCTGAAAATTGAGCATCATTGATAAATTAATTAGTTTTTCCTAAATTGATTGTTTTTGGGGATAGTTACTCAGTAGGTTTCCATAAATCTGGACAAGATTTCTTTTGACTATTTTATAAAGTCTAAATTTGAAGTTGTTAACCTTTTTAAATTTAATTTGATTTTGGAGATTAACAAGTGAGAACTTTTTCATTTTCTTTATCTCCTTTTTTTCTAAGATATTTTCTCAGATCAGTTGATAATTCTTTATAATTATTGCCTTTTTTATAATGATTCAGTATCGCTATCACATCTTGATTGCCTTCTTTCACCATATTCCTTAAAGTTATTCTATCATCTTTAAAGATTACTAAATTGAGTAATAATATATACAAGTGCAATTATCTAACAGAGTAAGAATTTCCAAATTATCTGGTTTTTTGAGATTCTTTTAAATGTGTTGAGGTGATTTTCCAAATCTAATCATAAAATTTAACTGTTAATAAGAAATTTATTAAAATTATGTGTATATAAATATTTATTTCATTTGGGATTATGAAAAGTTTGATTGATAAGAAGATTATAAATACTTATACAATCTTAATTATTTGTTATATTAATAAGTTAAAATAAAGAAGGAGATTGTTAAAAAATAAACTTTATATTATTTGAATTAATGAATTTATCAAAACAATAAGAAGATATTCCTATGATTTAAAAAGGGATTTAACTCTCTAAATAAGAGAAAGTAAGTGAATTGAGATATGAAATAATTAGATTTATCATTTTGATATGTTATCTTGGGCTTCTGCAGGTGCTACATTAGTTTCTATATGGCAAATAATAATTCCATTTACACTTTTTTCGTTGAATAAACCATAAATGATATTGGGAATCACGAGTATATTTTTACTTTTGGTGAGTTTAGTGGTTTTGTATTGGAGTCATCAGGGATATAATTTTTATAAGAAAGTAATTCATAAAATTTAAAATCATAGGATAAAAAAGATGAGTAAATGCCATTATAAGCTTGGCACATAGAGGGTTTAATTTACGTTATAAGTTTTATGTTAATAGCATTATATGCTAGTTGTTTTTTTGGTATTCTTGAGAATGAAGGATATTCATGGGCTTTAATGGCTGCTGAAGGAGTACAAGTAAATACAGCTTAAAAAGAAGCTTTCATAATAGTGTTATCTTAGTTGATACTAATTATAGTGGATTTAGTGCTTTTAGCATATTATGCAAAAGTTTCATACCATCTAGAATTTCAGCCAATGCATTTGCCTTCTTTATTAGGTTGGTTTTTAACAATGTAAGATTATATAATAAATGAAAGATTTATCTTTATGTGTTGTATTACAATAGGAGATACAAATTATTTACCATCAAAATTAGGTGGTTTAGTAGATAAGGAAAGTATGGAAAAAGCAAAAGGAGCACATACTTCAATATTTTGGACTTGTTTAATTGGTTTGATATTTTCTTTGTTTACTTTGTTTGAATAAAGATCAATCTAACAAGAAGTATTTCCTAAAGTGAAATTCTATTTTTTACCTTTTCTTTTGATAATGGTTGCTAGTGTATTTTTGATTTCAAATTCATTAAATTTTTTATATGCTTCAAGTCAATCTATTTAAGAATTAAAAAAGGATTGTAAATCAACAATATAAACATTCTCATAGTCATATATAGATTCTATAGGATGTCCAGCTAAATATAAGACAGTAAATATTTAAGGTAGTAATTATTTCGATATGTATTGTTCATAAGAGGAAGTAGGAATAGTATGGGAATATGAAGTTGATAAATAGAATTCAGAAAAACGAAATTAATTAGCTTGCATGAATTTATCTTGTTGTTATTTAGTTAGTGAAGAAAGAACTTTATTTTATAAACAATATTTTTTCTATTCTATTTTGACAGCATTTTTAGGATTTATTGCAGCTGGTCATTGTTTTGATATAGCATTATAAGAACCGAATGTAATAAAAGCTGGACCATCTGTTTATTCTTAAACTTAATATATAGTGTAGATTGTTTTAGCATTATTTTCAATAATACTTGGTATTTATTTATCTATTAAATACAATTAAAAAGTACCAATAAAAATGCCAGATTTTAATTTTAAAGATTAAATCAATTTAGAACCTAAATATTTTCCTGAATTAACAACATTATCATCTATTTCATAATGTTAAGAAGTGAGAGATTAACATAATAAATCATTTAAAGTTCATTTTGATCATAATGCATGTGCAGGTTAAGCTAAATGTTCTAGAATGGGATTTCATGCTTGTTTAGAAGTATAAAATGGAATATTTTAATTGCTTCCTACTTTTTAAGATAAAGAAATAGCAATATTTGGTAGTCATGCTTATGATCCATATATATTATAATAAGGATTACATGGAGAAGAGACTACAGGTAAATTATGTTTTGAAGGTTTGGAAGGACCTATAAATCATTTATTAAATTCAAAAGTGTATGTTTGTCATGGATAAGATAAAGAAGCTATTGTTAAATTTTAAACGAAAGAAAAAGAAATACTTTTTGAATAAGTAATTGAGTATTAAGAAAAAGATTTTGATTAAATTAGAACAATAAAATTATCTCCACCATCTCATAATAAAAAGAGTCATAAAAATATTGATGAGACCGGTGAAGATGAAATCTTAGGTTAATACACAACAGTCACACTTATAGTAACAGATGCTGAAACATTTGAACCTATTATTGGAGCTACTGTAACAATGTATCAAGATATTAATAAATGTTAAGAATTAAATCATAATGTTTATTATCCTATAAGAATAGCATAAACTAATTCTACAGGAATGATTAGCATATATAATGTTTAGATGAAAGATAAAAGATAAATCTTTAATTTCTTAGTTAAATAAGATGGATATATGTTTAACTGTTTAATTGTACTCTCAATAAATATATATATAGTCTGATCACTTAAAGCCATTCAAATAAAATGTATTCCGAATTCCACTTGCGAAATCGATTACTGATTAATAAGAAATGAAGATTATACTGTGGCATTAAAATCCAAAACTAAATCTAGAATTAGCTTCCAATATTCTCCTAAATAAGAATTAATAATGTAGTATTGGTTTCTTCTTTTCAGAATGTTCTTTTATGAAATTTACTTCTCATCCAAAAAGTAAAAATTAAATATCAAGAGTCATTACTATAGAAAAGATTGTCAAATTTAATTACATCTTCTTTGTTCGTCATATTCCAATTAATTCTGATATAATTGAAGTTGTTAATAACAAAGGATTATCATTAGTAGCTAAATTATAAGCAGAATTACAATAAGAAATTGCAGAGTTTTCAAAATCTTAACCAAAAATTTCAATTTATTCTAAAAAGTATCCTTATCCATAAATTTATGAAATGCCACATAATCTATAAACTGAAATTGATACTACTCCTGATTTACTTATTTGGTTATCCTTCTGTATGAATGGTAGAATAGGACCTGAATCTAGTACACCTATTAATCACTTTTGGGAAAAGAAAGATGAATCAAAGTTTTGGTAAAGACATACTGTCTAAACAAATACTATGCCAGATTCTTCCATTTGTGACAAAATGTATAAATAACAATAATGATAATATTATTTCAACTTTTCTCTACATACTTTCTACAAAGAGACTTCAATTATGAATAAACCTTTCCTGGAGGACTACCTAAAATTAAAGCACATATTGCATCTCTGGCAGCCTTTATATTTGAATAACTTCCTAAAATATGTATTCTTTAATCTGCAAGAACTATTCTTGTTCTTGTTGCATTTTCTATTGCAAATTTTGTTTTTCCTTTTTCACCAGAAATACGGCCAATACATCTTGATAAATGATCACCATGTAAGGTTTTAACTTTTTATTTTATTATATTTATTGTACCATCTTTTACTTCAAATGATTCCACATATAAATCATCTAATCTTAATAAAGCTACTGAATCATCAATATCAAATCCTAAATACTTTCAATCAGTATTTCATACCCATCATAAATGCTTTTAAAAAATCTACTCCTCTTTATAATGAAGTCTTATCCTCTGTAAATTAAGATGTTTTTATTTCCACACATTTCTTTTTTGTATTCATTCTTATTTACAACTTCATATTTTCCTTTTTTGTTTCATTTTTATATAAATACCACTATTGTTGTTAGTATTTTATCCCAATTGTTTTTTAAAGGAGTCACTCTATGTGGAGGAACTGGCACTCTTCTTATTTCACCTTTTTTATTCTAATTTTAATTTCTTTTCTTTTACATTCTCTTAATTATCATTCGCTTATTAAAATTAGATATCTTGAACTTCATTCTATATTTAATTGATGTCTTCTTCTATTATTTAATTATTTTCTTCGTTAAATTCTTTTTCTTAATCGATGTCCATACACTAAATTTCACAATTAATTACAATAAGTTAATTGTATTTATTTAATAAAATTACAAAATTATCACCATAAAATATTTATATGCTTTTAATATTAATGATTATGATATTATTTCAAATTGAAAATTCTTTAAAACATTTCATACAAAAACTTGTAATTTATCCTGCTACGCTTCCAACATCACTAATAAACTCTTATTAACATTTCAAACATTTTTTCTTCTCCTCTGACAATATTTAATTCTTCATTTTCTTAATCAATTACTAAGCTTTATACTCAGACAATATCTTTAATTAATTTTATTCAATAAGAGTATCTGTCTGAACATTCATCTCTTCTAAAAGTATTTTCACCTACTGCTAAAGAGACTTTGATTTAGTATTCTAATATTATTATTATTGAGAGTAATATTATTGTTGAGAGTATTTTTGAGAATTTATTAATTATTGATTTCTTTGAGTATTTTAATCCTCTTAAAATAAAGAAAACAATAACACATCTTAATATAAATCATTTTCTATCATTATTTTTAGACAATTAGGAAGACTAGAATTTAATAGCACTAATCTATGTAGTGTTTTATTTGGTTTGTAATAAAGTATTTATTGTATATCAACATTTATAACATATTTAAGGTTATCAACTAAAAGTGCACTTTGACCAATAGACAAATTTTTAACATCAATTTAATCACTAATTTATATACCATTCTCAAGCAAATGATTAGTCAAATTTATATTTATACTATTTTTCAATAGAATTGTTGCTATTTCTGTAAAATACCATAATCCAAGGTTCTAATTAATTTAATTAGTTTTTATCAATTAATTTAATTGTTAATAAGGTGTTCCATCAGCAATAAATTACCCTTTTTTATTTTATAATCCAATCATAATTGCATAATATATACCTTATAAACCTTGTCCAGTAGGTTACATTACAGTTTCAAGTATTTGAAGTTTATCAATAATTATTTTGGGTATAGGTGTTAATTATTGTATATTGTTTTAATTGTTCTAAAAATATTCAAACCCTTTGCTTATGTTATAATTATTTGCAGTAAAATATCTATTAAAGTCTCTTAATTTCTTTATTACTTCATTTTTGTTTGGTTTATTTTCAAGCTATGTTTCTAAAAACTCCTAAAATTTTGTTAAAATGTATTGAGGAGCTAGCATAGTAAAATATAATTAATATTATAAATTTAATATCAAGAACTAAAATCAATCAATTTTACTACTCCCATTTCACATGAACAATTAGTGCAGAAATGATAACAATCTTTACAAATCTATATGATCTCATATATATTTACATCTGAAAAAACAAATATTAAACCAAGTAAAAAAGCAGGTGACAAAATCAGGCAAAGTATGAATTAAGTCAATCCTATTCTATACTCAACTTAAGAATGCACTTCCTAATTACACCATCTACATTAAAGATACTCCGAATGTCTTGTTTTTGGAATTTAAGTTAAATCTTTATGAGTTGGAATTCCAGATCCAGGTTAATATGGTTTACTTTAAGGCATCATAAATTATTAATTAACTAGTTAAGAAGCAGGCATTTATTGTTATTAATTCACTTCAGAATAAACTTATTGAGCTACTATAGATTGTTATTAAAAAGAGGCTCCTTGTGGCCAGTTGATTGCCACTTCTTAAAATCCAGGTATTTTACTTTTATTCATATATATGTTAGAATCCTTAGGAAGTCTCGTTTTTTCATAAACTGGTATTGATGATTATTAGATCCTTTCTTGTTGATTCAATTCTATATCATGAAGCTAGGATTTTTTTTGTTCCTATTATGAAATTTTGATTGGGATGTTTTCTTCCTAATATAATTATGATTTGATTTAAGTTTGCATAATAATAACAAAATTTATTATAAAACAAAATTTTTACAAAAATATTAAATATCAGGCATCCCATCAAATACTGTACTTTCTTTATTTAATTATATATTCATCGAGTTGCCTTCTAAGTATTAATCCACGTATTTTTTCCCATTTAATATAATTTTCTTTCTTTACATAAATATATTCATCTTCCAATATTTCCTTAGCACTAATTCTTGAAATAGGATCAGGATCCATCATTCTACATATTAACTTTCTCAATCTTAATGAATACATATTTTCTGGAAAATCAGTAATTTGAGTTCCTTCTCTTATACGATGCCATTCTTCCCCATTTGATGGCAATTACTATTTTATCATCAATTAAAAAAGAGTTGCTCCCAAAGAAAAGATATCTGTTTTACATAGATCTAATTTTTCTGTTTGATTTAGTAATTCTTTTGCTATATATCTGAAATCTCCTACACTCACGTCTTCTTGACGTTTTTGTATTTTCTTTGATAAACCTAAATCAGCTAATTTGTATTAACCATCTTTCTTACTATAAAGTATATTCTCTGGTTTTATATCTAAATGTGATATTTATTATTCATGTAAAAATATCAATCCATTTGTTATATCTTTAAGTATCTTTTTTATTTCAAATTCTTCATAATCCTATCTTGAACTAACACTATAATCACAATATTCCATTAATAAATATAACATATTCCCTTCTTGCCAAGATGTAAAATATCTAACTAAATTTTTACATGCTCCTTTTGCATTTAAATATGCTAAAGCTTAAGATTCATTCACCATATCCATATTCAATTTATTTTATTTTATTTTTGTGCATTTTATAACACAAATTTAATTTGTAAATCTATTTTTACATTTATACACTTATCCAAAATAACCACTTCCTAAAATATCCACTTGTATATATTCTTCTTAATATCTGCTTTTTTGAACTCCATCTTCTCCTTCAAATTATTTATTCAAATTTCTTATTACTTTCCTTTTATTTATTTTATTCAGTTAGTTTTGTTTATTTTTCTCTCCAGTCGATTATTATAAAGTTTTCACATTTCCTTTTGGAGTGCTTGGTGAATTTGTTTTATTTTATTAATTTTATTATCCTTTTGATTATTTTATTTTCAATGCTAATTAATTTTTTTAGTTTATGCCAATCCCTTCTGTTACTTAGAGTTTTATTGGTTGTTTAAATTGATTACCAAATTCAGGAGTAAATGGAGGATCAACAAATAACTTCTTACATGGATTTGGTTCAGAAGTTTAAGGTGAACTTGGATTGGAAAAAAGATTCCTTGAAGGAAATAGATTCATTTCAAAGGTTTTGATGTCAAATTTCGAAATTTAAATTAATTTTCGAATTACCGCTAAAAAATTTCTTTAAAATTTATTTGAATTTTAATTTTTACATATAATATTTATAAACAATCACTTTTTAAAAAGTAGACTTCTAAATTTTGGCTTTAATATAATACATTATTCAAAGTCTTGATAATTATTCTCTTGTACACTAAATCTTAATTTTTAACTTCCTGCATTTCTATTAAACTCTAATCATTTAATAATTCTATGATATAGTTCCCCCCCCCCCCTTTCAAAATTTAATTTTTTTTTCTTCAATTATTGAATTTAGATTCAAGCTATTATTTTAAGATAAACAAATATCCAACTTTTGAGATTCCCTATGATTAATAATTTACATGCAATCCAGTCTTTTATATCAGTAAGATATTTATAGCCTAGAGTAGAGCTATTGACTTATATTGAATAATTTTATATTCATTCAGTCTATTTCCCAAATAATCTTGAAGAAATTGATACTTTGGTCTATAAGTATATTTAGAATACTCCTTTTTTGTGACTTTTTAGCAATATATTCCAACAGATTTAGTTTCCCCAATAAGCATAATAATTAGAACCATTAAGTGAATACAGTCTTCAGAAATAATTTTTGAATCCATCTATAAAATCCCCTTCTTATAAGAGTATTAATCTTTGTTTATCTTTTGATTGAATATAACATCTTATATTTTTACAATTCTATTCTATATTTTTATCATAAGGAGGTGGAAATATTGTTATTATATATTAATTTTCTATCCTATCCTGATAGTTTTTTGTTGAGGCTCTTGCATTATTATATATTTATATAATATAATATTAATATTTATCAAATTGAACTTTCAATCTTTGATATTAACTACAAACTTATATCCCACAACTTTGAAGCTTTGTCTTTGCTTGTGTATCTTGCTTTTGATAGTCTGCAATCTTTGTAGAATCCACCATTTATCAATTCTTCATCTTTTAACATAATACAATATAAAATTGTTTGGCATCCATAATAACAGTCTTTTGTGAAAAAACTATAGATTGGCCAAGCTATTAACATAATCAAATTGAACCACCAGGCTGACAATTAATGTTGCAATACTTCAGTTCTTACAACACCTGGATGCAAAGAACATGCTTTTACACCAGTTCTATTATAAAATTCTTATCCATTTAGAATTTATGCAAATTTTGTATTTCCATAAGCTCTATAAGTATATATTCTGCTCCAAAATACACTGTTAGCCCATTTTTCACAATTCAGATCATCAAAATCAAGAGCTTAAAACACATGTGCTATTGAGGAGACATTTATTATTCTTGGACAATTTGATTTTCTTATAAGATCAAGCTAAATTATTCTTATTGAATTTCTTACTAATAATTGATTTAAGAAAAAGGGACCTAAATAGTTAGTTCCAAATTAAGATTCTATACCATATTCGGTAAACTATCTTGTCAAGGTTCCCATTATTCCTGCATTATTTATTAAAATATCAATTCTATCTACTTCTTTATTCACTCTATTAGCAAATTGTTTAATCGAACTCCAACTTTAAAGATCTAATGGAATATATTCAATTTTTGTTAAAGGATAAGTTTTCAGTAATTTTTCTAAGAATTCAGTTGGTTTACTTCTACAACCAAATATTATCCTACATTTAAATTTTGCTAGTAGTTTGATTGTCTCTTATCCTAGTCCTTTACTACCTCCAGTTATGAGAATAGTTAAATTAGATATATCCCTAAGTGTTTCACATTTTTATCCTCTAAAATAAATTCTGGCCTTTAATCCAATCAAAAATAACGAGAGGCAAAGAAGAAAGAAGCTCCACAACATGGATATATTATTTTAAATTCAATAAAATTACTAAATATTGATGATATCATGAGCAAATTATTAAATATTTGGATTGCATAAATTATATATATTAATAAAACAGTAATAAAAATGTTTTATGTTTTTTTGTGTAGAATGACAATGATTAGAGTTTAAAGATATTTGAAGTTGAAGATGACTTGGGAATAAGTTAAAAATAAAATAACTTAAATGATACCAAAATATAAATGAAAATAATTAATTTATAATATGAATTATAATAAAGCTCTTGATAATGGGTCAGGAGGGCCTGATGAAATATCAGATCAATAAATAAAGAGTTTAATATAGAAATTTTAAAGGAAAGGATTTGATGGATTAGCTTTGGAGGAAGTAGCTACAGCACTGATAATTCCAAATTTTGGAAAAGTATTTCAATAACATACAGGACTTGATTGGTAAGGTAAATTTGAAGTGAAAGCATTGGAGAGATTGAATAGATCAAAATTTGACATAAATTGGATGGCAAGGAAAGACAATTCAGAACATTCAGCTTTATTTATAAATTGTTCACGCGGCGATCTTGTAAAAGTGAGATAGTATTTAAAAGAATCAAAGGATCCATAATTAAAAGAATGTGTAGATTAAACTAAAAAAAGCCCTTTACATGTAGCAACAATAGAGGGACACTTAAGCATAGTTGAAATATTATTGATGAGCGGTTTTAATCCAAATTGTAGAGATAGAACTTTAAAGACTCCATTACATTATGGATGTTTGCATGGACATGAAACAATAGTAGATACATTACTTAAAGCAGGATCAGATATAACAGCAAGAGATTCATTGGGTCGATCATGTATACATTTTGCAGCATCATGTCCAAGTGCTTAGACATTGTAATTGGTATTAGCAACAAAACCTGAATTATCAAATGACTTTGATTAAAAGAAGAGAACACCTTTACACTATTGTGTGTGGAATTCTTCATAACATTAAGTTAGTTTATTAAGAACTCTTTTAGATTTCAAAGCTAATCCAATGGCTTTAGATGAAGATTTGAAAACACCAATTCATCATGCTTCAGAAGGTGGAAAAACAAGAGCAATACCTGTATTATTATAGAGAGGAGGATAAGAGAGTATGTAATGTAGAGATAGAAGTTAAAAAACTCCATTAGAATTGGCTGCAAATGATAGAACTCGTGAAGTTTTGATTGTTTATAGTTCTTCACCAATGAATAACTAGGATCAAGATTTGAAATTTTTAGATTAAGCTGTTTAAGGATAGAAATTAACAAATTAAAAGAAAGAGTAAGTACCATAATCATCTGTTGTAATTGCTAATAGATAATAAGTATAGTAATCACCTTAATTTCCAATTGTAGAAAAAGAAGTAGTATCAGTTGAGCCTCCTCCTTTATAAGTGAAGTGGGCTCCTGCATCTATAAATTAATGGATAAGGGAGAAGTTTTTTACAATAATGAAAAAAGTATAAGAATCAGGAATTCGAGCTAATCATCATTTAAAGCGTCCTTATGTTTATACAGGATCATGGATGGAAGGTATAAATACTATGGAAGAATTATATGGTGCTGTTAAAGATGTTCCTGCAGGAGAAGCATGTGTTAGAACTTTTAATATTTTATGTCCATTTGATAGATAACTTCCATCTGGTAGTGGAAATGAAGATGTTATTGATGGATTTTATGGAGAAATGTGGTTTGATGGTAGTGGAGCTGTTAAAAGAACTGAATAAATTGAAGAAATGAGAAGAAAAATGTAATAAGAATATCTTGCTAGAATCACTGATCTCGAAACTGAAATTTAAATCAAATCTAAACATTTGTTTGAAACTGATTAAGAATTAGCCTAAACTAGAGCTTAATTAGAAGTCACTTAGAGATAAAATAAAACAAATAATGATAAATTATAAGCTTAAATTGATACATTGAATAAATAAATAAAAGGCAAAGAAGAAACAATAAGTAAATTAGATAAAGATAAATAACAACTCAATTAAACAATCAAAAGATTAGAATAGGAAAATGAAGAATTAAGAAATCAGCCATAAGGTATATCTGAAGAAGAGGTTTAAGAATATATGACTTAGATTTCAGAATTAAAGGAATAATTATAATCTAGTAAAGATTAAGAAAAAACACTAAGAGCCAAAGCAGGTTAATTGTTTTTGAAGAGTATTTAAACAATAAAAGCATCAAATGAAGAAAAACTATCTTAAGTGAAAGCACAAACTTTAGCTTAAATTTAGTTAGAAAAAGAAAAGATGTAATAGGAGAGATTGAATGCAAATAAACAATTTGAATTTGAAAAGAATCAATTATTAGAGGAGAAGAATATGTTAATGAAAGAGAAACAAAAGGTTTAAGCTGAAGTATTACCAACAAATGCGGCAGGAGGAATGGATAATTTATAAGATGATGATGCTATTATTGTATTACTTAAAGCTTTGAAAGGTAATCCACCTCCTATGAAATAAAGAATGAAAACATTTGATGGAGATTTAGATGGATCATTAACATAAGATGAATTTAGATAATTCCTAGCATCATTAAAACTCAGTTAATAAGATATTCATTCTTTATGTAGAATAGGGGGTTTTTTGGGATAGAAAAAATAAATTGGAATTGAAGAATGGGCTTAAATATTGTAAGATAGGCCAAAACAGAGAGAATAATTTGAATAAGCTTTGTTTTGTAAATTATTGGATGCAATCAAAGCTAGAAATCTCACTGTTGAGAAAATGTTTGAATTAATTGATACTGATGGATCAGGATCTTTGAGTCCTGCTGAACTTAAATAAGGACTAAAATCTTTGAAAATCATTTTGAATTAAAAAGATTTAAATAATATGTTTGCTATTTTTGACTCTGATAAAAGTGGTTCAGTATCTTTGGAAGAAATGAGAGAAACCCTTAATAACTATTAAAAAATGAGGGAAGAATAAGGGGAGGGTGAAATTATAGTTGATGAATAAGATAGAATCTAAGTTTAAGATGAAGACAATCCGTATGAGGAAATAGATGCTACAGAAACAGAATTATAATAAGAGATTAAAGAGTGGAACATTGATATCAAAGATTTTACAAAAATAACAGGATTTTTGAAGGTTTAATTAGTGAGTGGATCATAAATAAATTCAAAATCTTTATGCTGTCATATTATTTTGAAAGGAGGAAACAGTATGGAAAAATCATTTATTCTTTTTAATTAAAGTGAATTCAAATAAGCTTTTATTTTTCCAATTGGATAAGCTTTAAAGGAGAATCTTTGTGAATACGTTTGGATTCGATTATATAGAAATGTAGTTGAGGAATAGAATTTTGTAGGAGATGTGAAAGTAATGTGGAAATAAACTATTGATAAACCAAATTAGTGGGTAATAAATAATAAATTCTAATTAAAAAATAGTACTTATATTAAAGAGTAGAGTAAAATGTATTAGCCATAAGGTTTTATAAATATTGCAATAAAGTTTATGCCTGGAGGTGAAGGAGTAGAAATTAAAAGACCAGTAATAGGAAATAAGATAACAGCAACTATAGTTGAAGAGGGTGTTTTAGAAGTGATACCAATTTAATGTATTTTGAAATAAGATTTGAAATAATTGAAGGATCCAAAATTCTTTATGCATTTAAAATTCATGTCAATTGATAAGAAGATACAGGCTCAATTAACAGCTTCAAATGATTTATATTGGGAAGGTAAGTATTTGTAGGATTTGAAATGTATAGCAAATTCAGCAATAGATTCAGTTTATGTGAAGGTTTATGTAGAGACTCCTAAGAATCTGTTATAGACAAATACCTAAGTTCTTGGTGAATTCTATATAGATTGGAATGAGTGTTTATTGAATCCAGGAGAATATTTATCAGAGAAGAGTTACTCATTGTAGGAAAATACAAAAGTTTATTTAAAGATTAGATATGTTCCACAATCGATGTTTTAATAGATAATTGGATTTAGAGATGGAGTGTCTAAAGAAGAGAAAAAGAAATAATTAACTTTAGATGACATGATTGAAGGAACTCTGAAGATTCTCTTTGTAAGAGGTAAGAATTTAAGAGCAGATGATGGTGATACATCTGATCCTTATTGTATAGCTAGAATAAAATCATTTGACAAAGAGATTAAAATATAATCGAAAACTATAAAGTGTAGTTTAAATCCTGAATGGAGAGATTTATAATCTATTAAAGTATTGATGCCTAAGGAAGCACCTTATCCACCATTAGAATTATAGTTATTTGATGAAGATGTTCTTGGAGATGATGAATTAGGAATGTGTAAAGTGGATTTAGCTCCATGTATTGAATAACCATGTAAATGGTCAATAAATGATTATTTTGATATTATTGATCCTAAAGCTAAGTAACCAGGTTAAATATATATTTAATGTTATTGGGTTCCTAAAGGAATGAAAGATCCTAATTTAAAAGCAAAAGATAAATTTGATTCAAGTGGTTGTGCTGATCCAGATCCAAATTTTATAGATGGAGAATTAATAATAAAAGTGGTTCATGCTAGAGAATTAAAAGCTGATTCACCTGATCCATATGTAATAATCAATTTTCCAGGAGGTAAGGAATTAAAAACTGAAACTATTTCTTCATCTATCAATCCAATATTCAATTAAATTTTGAAAAATCAATTTAAAGTAAAAAAGGAAAATGGCAATATTCCATTAAAAGTTTTAGTAAAAGATTCCAATACATTAAGTGATGATTTGATAGGTTATGTAGATATGCATTGGGAAGAATGTGTATCACATCCTGGAGAATGGGCAATCAATTAAGTGTACAATTTAAGTGCAGCTGCTAATAGTAAGAATTTTGGATCAATTGGATTTTTGTACATGCAGGCTAAATTTATTGAAAGAGGAATGATAGATGATTAGGCAGAAGCTCCATTGACTGAGAATCTATTTGAAATCATAAATTCAAAACAAGGAATTTATTAAGGATCTTTAAGAATATTTTTAGTTCATGCTAGAGGATTAGTTGTTGCTGATAGTAAAGCTAGTGATCCATATGTAATATTTAAAGTACCAGGAGGAAAGAAAGTTGAAACATTATCTAAACCAGATACTATAAATCCATCTTGGAAAACAATATTTAATATAAATGTTTCTATGCCTAAGGATACTATACAACCACTTCGAGTAGAAATATTTGATGATGATTTAGTTAATGATGAATTGATGGGATATTGCACTATTGATTTATTGGATAGTTTTAACAATCCTTAAGTGTGGAAATTTAATGAAGTAATAGATTTATAAGGAGATTTAAAAATGTAAAAGAAATACAAAACCAAAGAATTTGGAAAGATATATTTATAAATTATGTATTGTCTATAGGGAATTCAAAATAATGATCCTCCTTTACCATTAACAGAAGATTTAGATGTCATTTTAAGAGAATAACAATAGGAAAATAAACGACCAATGAAGGGAAAACTATTTATAAATATTCCTGTTGCTTTAGGATTAAGACCAGATGATGGTGTAACAGCTGATCCATATTGTAAATTGACATTTCCAGATAATCACAATGTTAAGAGTAAATAAATAGATAAGACAATAAATCCTATATTTAATTTTTAATATTAATGGAATTGCAATCTAATAAAAGAATAATATAAGCCTATACTTCTTCAGATATATGATTCTGATACAGTAAGTGATGATTTATTAGGAGAAGTAGAAATTGAATGGATGGAATGCTTCAATAATCCAACTTAGTGGATGATCAACAAATAATATCCATTGGTAGAAGGGAAAGTATACATTTAAAGTAAATTCCTACTACCAGGATAAGAAACAACGCCTGAAGGAATTAGAGCATGTGATACAGTTTAGGAATTGAAACATGATTATGGAAGAGTATTAGGTAAGATAGATGTTAAAATTATATCTGCATCATAACTTTATAATTCTGATATCACAGGTAAAAGTGATCCATTTGTAGAATGTGGATTGAGTAGTGAAACTAAAAAGATGTAAACTCCAATCAAAGAAAATACATTGGATCCTATTTGGGATTTCTAAGGTAGTCTTGTTGTTGAACTCTTGAGATGTTAAGTTTAAATGAACACTATCAATTTCAATGTCTATGACGATGATGAAATTGGTAAAGATTTTTTAGGTTAATGTGAAGTTGATTTAATTGATATCCTTGAAAAGAATCCAGGTTCAGTTATGTTATAGGATTTACCATTAAAAGATCCAAGCAAAAAAGGAAACCCTAATTTAGGATCTCTAAAAGTATAATTTGTTTGGATACCAGATCCCCATAATGAAGGTGTTGTTGGATTAAGAATACCTCCCAAAATGTATGAAGGAGATTTATGTTTACGATTCCCTAATGCTAGATAATTACCTAAAGGTGATCCTTATGTCACCTTCTTTTTAACTGAAGATATGGAAAAGAATTACAAATGTAAACATATTGATGGCAATTAAAATCCTAATTGGAATTATGAGGAAATTATTAAGATTTCTATTAGTGAAAGATAAATTCTAACAGAGAGAATTAAAGTTACTGTTAAGAACTATAATTCAGCATGGAGTGATACATTATTTGGTGGTATTACTGTTTTATTGACTGATATATTTAGAAAGCCTGGTATGTGGATAAATCAATACTATTAACTTTAAGATTCAGATGGAAAATTGATTGAATCTTATCTGTATTTCTAAGCTCAATTCAGATCAGAAGAAGTCTAAGATAAAAATCCTCCTCCTCTCATTGATTTCACTCAATTTATTAATTAAGGTAAACCTCCTACTTTTAATGGCAAGTTAAAATTTACTTATATTGGATTAAAAAACTTAGAGAACAAAGATATAACTGGATTAAGTGATCCTTTTGTAGAAATAAAAATGTCAAAAGGAGCTACTACAGCATTTAAAACTACAACATAGGATGATAAATTAGATTGCTTTTGGAGTGATTGTGGAGAATATCTCTTTAAGGAAGTCACTTAAGAAGATTTATCATTATTAAGACTATATATCAATGTATTTGATTATGATTACAATTCTAATGATGTACTTGGAAAATGTGAACTTGATCTAAGTAAAGTAAAATCTGGTTAATGGGTGAATTATCGTATTCCTCTTTTAAATGAGAAAGATTTTCCTTAGAAAAGTGAAATCTATCTACAAGCTCTATTCACTATTGATGGAGATAATTCAGCTATTTAAAAATAACCTAACAATTTATATGAAGATATTGCCAGATAATAGTAGGAAGAATAAGAGAGAATAAGAAAAGAAAAAGAAGCACAGGCAGCCATTCCAAAATTACCTGGAGTATTAAGAGTCTTTGTACCTTATGCTAAGTAATTACTCAAAGCAGACACTATTGGAGAAAGTGATCCTTATGTGGAATTCAAACTATCTAAAGGAAGTAAACAAATCATTAAAAGTAATACTATTGATAATGATCCCAATCCTAAATGGAATTTTAGTGGAGAATTTACTTTAGATATGTAATCACATGAATATAATGACATTGCCATCATGTGTACTGTTTATGATTATGATACTATTGTTTCAAGTGATTTTCTTGGTTTCATTGAATTATCTTTAAATGATATTTTCTCAAAACCAGGAACATGGATTAATGGATTATTTCAACTCAAGGATGAACATGGTAATACTGGTAAGAATGGACTAATTTATTTACAATTCTAATGGGTTCCAAATTCTATTAAGAATAATGTATCTTTGGCTTAACCTAATTAGATTTAATAATCAGTTGCTGCTTAACCTTTACCAGAACCATAAATTCAAAAACCTTAATAAGGACTACTATTTGTTTAGCTTATTAAAATAGTCGGTTATGATAAAAAGTCTTAAATAAAAGTTTCTTAAGGTTAAAAAGCATTTAGTAGTAACTTTGTTTAAGCAGATGTTAACTATAATTTAGTATGTTAATTTGAGAATCCAGAATCATAAATCACTATCAATTTGCTTGATGAAAAGTAACAATAAATTGCTAACACTGTTGTTGATCTGTAAAATATTATCAAATAACCTGGTACTTGGATTAATTCTTTTTATCCCTTTCAACATAGTAATCTCTAACCAAATTTATAATAAATATATCTCCAAGCTCAATTTAGATTAAATGATTAATAATAAAATGTCTAAGATCCACCCCTACTTCCAGATCCAGAAATCAAAATTCCTGTTAGTTTGTCTTAAGTGGTCCAACCATAAAAAGGTAAATTAAAAGTAGCTGTGATTAAAGCTGAAAAAATTAAATTGATGGATAACAATAAAGCTTCAAATGTTAAGGTCACTGTAATTTTTAATGGAGATGATAAATCTACACCTGTTGTTAAAGGAGCTTCTCCTGAATGGAAAAAGATTTTAGATCCTTTTAAGCTTGATGTTCTTAAACCTCTACAAGTCAATTTATTCCATGATCCAGGAATGTTTAGTCGTTGTGTTCCTATTGGTGAAGTAACTATTTCAGACTTGTCAGCTATTTTTACGGCTCCAAATACTTGGGCAATTAAAAATGATTTTGTTTTAGGAGGAAATGGAAATGGAATTATAACTCTTTATATTGGATTTGTTGGTGAAAAAGATAAAGATGCTTTGATAAAGATACAATGAAAATTTAATCACTAAAGATCATATGTTTTTATCCAATATTTAATATTTTTCATTAAAAGCACTCAATTTTTATTTATATTCTAGTTTAAGCTCCATTTCTTTAAACTTCTCTAAAAGCAAATGTTATTATTTTACAAATTCTCTCAATCAAAAAATTGATTTCATACTAAAACTATATCAATTTATTTATTAATTATATTAGAATAAGAGGAATTATTACCTAAAATAAAAATCAAACCAAACGAAATGGCAAAACCACTTGAATTTACGATATTAGCAACCCACAATTTTGCGAGGTACTTAATGAATTGAAAACTTAAAGAGCTTCGATAATGAGACTTCCACATGGAGAAGTGAAGACTCCAGTTTATATGCCAGTAGGTACAAAAGGGGCAATGAAAGGTGTAACATATTAAGAAATGGATGATATGGGATGTAAATTATTGTTAGCAAATACTTATCATTTGGCCTATAAACCTAGTGGTGATTTATTAGAAAAGATAGGAGGCTTACATAAATTTATAAATTGGAAAAATAACATTTTAACAGATAGTGGTGGATTTTAAATGGTTTCATTGTCTTAATTAAGTGAAGTCACTGAAGATGGAGTCACATTTGAATCTCCTTATGATAAATCTACAATGCATTTACGACCAGAGGATTCAATACACACTTAAAATTAAATAGGTGCTGATATAATTATGGCTCTGGATGATGTTGTTAGAACTACAACTGTGAGGCCTCGTATGAAAGAAGCAAGTGAAAGAACTACAAGATGGTTAGATAGAGATATTGCAGCCCATAGAAGAAAAAATGATTAAAATTTATTCCCTATTGTACAAGGAGGAGTAGATCCAAATTTAAGAGAATAATCATTAAATGATCTTATTTAGAGAGAGGCTAATGGATATGCAATTGGAGGTTTGGCTGGAGGAGAAGATAAAGTAAATATTTCCATATATTTATTTTAGTTTGATTTTTGGAAAACTGTAGCATAATGTACTGCTAAATTACCAAATGATAAACCAAGATATTTAATGGGTGTTGGATATCCAGTTGATGTTGTAGTATGTTCATGTTTGGGAGTAGATATGTTTGATTGTGTTTTCTCTACTAGAACTGCTAGATTTGGAACTGCTTTTACAGATTATGGATTTCTTAAAATTAAAAACCATTAGGCAGCTAATATATTTTAACCTATTTAAGATAAATGCTAATGTTAGGCTTGCAAATCCTATACATAATCATATTTACATTATTTGATAGCAAAAGAGGAAGTTGCCTGTCATCTTATATCTATCCATAATTTGAATTATTTAATTTAATTAATGCTCAATTTACATCAATCTATTATAAATGGTAAATTGATCGAATTTGTAAATGAATTTCTTAGAAAATGGTATAAAAAAGAAGGTTAAATACCTCAATGGATTATTGAAGCTTTAGATCATGCTAAAATACCAGTGTAATAAATTTGAGTTGTTATTATTGATTAATTTTATTTATTTAGTTAATTTTTATGTCAATATTTTTTTCCATTTTATTTTATTAATTGCATATTCGTCAAATTAAATATAATAATTATAAATCAAATCAAATGTAAGTCTTTATCTATTATATAATTAATTGTGGATCTCGGAATTATATAATCAACAAAGAACTAAAAATTTTGATTTCTTCGTGTTTTTGATTTGTATTCTTTCTTCCTTTTTTTAAATCTTCTCTCTTGTTTACTATTCTAAGAATATAATTTTTTTAAATTCATTCCCGATTAACTTTTTTCTCTTATAGTATGATAAAATCTGAGTTTAACCTACTATTTAATTGAAGTTAAAGGACAATCTATACATAAATGATCATTTCCATGACATGTAAAGCATCTTAATCCAATTAACTGAAATTAATTTTCATAAATTATACTATCTCTAAGAGCTTAGAATTAATGATGGAAATTCTTATTCATTTCCAAAACATCATGAAAATCCTTTCTTTAAATGTAAATTAAAGATGCAAATTACATTGTTCGAGCCGAACCTAATAAATAGATATAATAAGTGTACATTTTCTTGGTAATCCTGTAATAAACGAGTAATGACCAAAGAAAGTGTCCCTTTTTAAAAATGCAATAATAACATCTTTTCTTTTGGAGTACTGAGTATTGATGAAAAGTTCAACATAGCCTCTTTCTAAATAATATAATGCCTATCCTTAATCAGGAATATTATCTAAGAAGATATTTTCCTAATCTCCAAGATAGATTTCTTTCACTTTGTTAGACAATTCAAATGTAATATCATTGTCCCTTAACCAAATTTATTTATTGAGTATTATCCCATAAGCTTCATACATTAATTGCTACTTTAAATTACTTGGGAGCAACTTTAGAGACTTTTATTCTATTTCTATATTTCTATCTTATCCAATACGATGGTAATAACGTAAGTAGTTAGAGATCTAAAACTTTAAATCTTTAGAACAATTTTTCTTTCTAAGATATTATTGAATCCACAAATTATCCACAAAATAATTTTACAATTTAGAGTTCTTTCTCATATTTTCAATTAATGAAATATTTACAGCTACAATTGCTACAGCAGTTATAACTGTTAAATCGGTTATGATGAATTCTAAATCATTTAATGGTAAGATGTCACCATAACCAATTCTTGTTATTGCATCAAGGGCCCAATAAGTAGAATATAAATATCTTATATTTATATAATATATACTTTGAAGGAGTGTTTCTAGTTATTACAACTCCAAAATTCATTGTGGGATCATTCACCCAAACTTTAGAATTCGGATGGTAAGTGTACATATATACACTTCCCCCATAAAACATACACCCATAGAAATGATTTATATAAAGAATTTCTATTAGCATTCCACATATCATGTAGAACTATCTCAATTATGGCATTATTTTTAATTTATCAGATAAGTAAACTTAAAATCTATAGAATGGTATAAGCTTCACCAAACAGAGTAGATAAACAATTACATATTTATCCGATATACTAATATAAAACAAAACTAGTATAGGTATTAAATCAAAAACTAAATCGTTTTTCAGATAATTTTTTGCTATTTTGAATCTATTTTTAACTAAAATGCCTTCATGATAATAATTTGTATTTAATTAAACAATAAAATCACTAATGAACAAAATCTAATAAATATATAACATATTATACAATTATTATTATTCTAATTATTTTGAAGCTTATTTCATCACTAAACTGTTAGTAGTAATTCCAAAAAAATATTATTTAAGGTATTGCTATGAAAAATAAGGCATTTATTAGCATCATAAATAATTACCAATAAAATAAATATTAATTTGAAGAAGAAAATACACTTGACTTTTTCTTTCTATTATATTGATTATTTTTCATGATTATGATATCATCTTATTATAAACTTTCATTTATTAAGTCTTTTAAAAAAATATTCATTCTTTACTGTTTATAAACTGAGAAAGGTTACCAATTAAATAATAATTTACTATAGAATCTTTTATCAATTTCAAATGAAATGGGGGGTTAATGTGGAATTTCATGAATATTCTTCTATTTAATCCATTTATGATGCTTTTAGTTTCTTCGAAAAAATAGTTTTCTATTTTGTTTACCAATTCCAGTAGGATTGTTGTAAAATTCTTCATAAACTTAATCTTTAATACTGATAATTTAGCAATTCTCAGTTAAATGATTAGAAGAAGTACAAATAAAGCATCCGTATTGTATGAATGAATATTGTTGTTCAAAAATCACTTTATCTTAAATAAAATGGAATTTTTCATGATCTTCAATATGATTAGATATTGCCTTTAAAAAGTCTGTTAATTTGATAAATTATAAAATTACGATAGATTTAGTTTTATAGGAGATAAATTATTCTTTTTCTTATTTAAAGAAAGAATAATTGCCGAAATTACTACCTCTTGAAAGTGAACTAATTTCAATTCCATTAAAAAGAACTGCAACCTTACCTTTATTAATGATAAATATTTTAGGGTCATCATCATCTTCAATTACTTAAATAGGAGTATTAGCATTTAGATAAACTTCACGAACAAGACTAGATAAATCTTCAATGAAATCAAGAGAGAAATTATGATAAATCCACAATATTCTTTTTATAATTTTAAGACTAGCTTCGTAATATAGTTTAGATTTTAATTAATTTGGTAATCTTGAAATGACTACCTGTTCTTCTTCAATATCCCTTTTTGATTGCTCTATTCTAAATTAGGATAAAAATATTGAGACTTCATTATAAAGTTTTTTAGAAATTTTCTTTACTATCATAAATTATTTAATTGAGAGCATACTTTCATCTAGCGATGATGAATTATCTGATTAAAAAGAAAGGATGGTTGATATGACATACAAACAAACAAACATACATCCTACTAATGCTAAATCTCCTATTATAATTTCATATTAATTCATAGGAGTTATTTCACCATAACCCATTGATACTAGAGTTTCAACTGCCCAAAAATAGCTAATTATATATTATGTTAAATGATGCATCAGATCAATATCACCAATTACACTATTTGAATACTCTAACCAAGTTGGTTCATCTATTGATATTGAGTATAAACCCATTGCATAAAATGAACAAGCAAAAATATCAAATATGTATAGCAATGTAATTAGCAACTTCAAAATTCGATACACCAATAATAAAAACTAATATTGAATTAGATATTCCTCAGTTATCTTATCAGAATAAAGATTGGATGGAATTCTAAAAAATACTAGAAATCCTACCCAAAATGGTAAAGGTTAAAATGTTGAAACAAATAGATAAACTAACACAATTAAATCAAATATAAAATAGTGTCTAAAATAGTATTTAACTTTCTTATAAGGCTTCTAGATGATGATGCCATTGTTACTAATATATTCTATAAACAATGAAATAATCATATCTATAATTAATAAGGACTTAAATATATTGAATATGTACTAAGATAATAATCCTCCAAACAAAAAATAAGTCTCCTCTGTTATCTTTTTAAAATTCTTCTACATTAAATAATTCTAATGAAATTTCTATATATATGACAAATGAGCAAAAGTTAATGAACACTTTCCATATTATGAGAATAGAATCAGAGGTTGAAATTTATAGCTTATCTGCAAGTTAATTTATTTACTGCTTCATGAATAAAGTTTGCAGAAATTATAAAATTTATTCATATACTTATTCAATTTTATATTTTTATTCTTTGAAGAATAAAAAAGAATATATTTGTTATCATTCAAACTCTACACTACATTAAGGATTGATTTCATGAGCAGTGATAGATTTCTTTCCATATAATTATTCATCAAATTATATTAATTATCTAATAAATCCAATATTTGGGTTGACAATGTAACGCTTCTCTTTAGTAAATTTAAATGCTTCTCGTAAGTTCATGCCTAAATGTTTCATCAAATACATAATCACAATTGTAGCACTTCTTGATTTTCCTAATTGACAATGAACTAATGCGCATTTTCCATCCTTTCTACATTATTCTTATGATTATTTGTAATTCATACCTAAAAATTCATAAGCTTCATTGAAATGTTCTAGGATGTTTTCTCCAATTGTGTCCATTAATTGTAACTTTAGATATGTATATTTTTAAGGATAATAATTTTAGCATTCTGCAGCAGCATTCAATATATAGGTCACATTAGTTCTTAAATCAAGTTCAATTTCATTTTCTGAGTTTATTGCTGCTCCTAAATATAGCCAATCTAAAATCTATAATATTTATATATAAATTCCTTACTCTTGTAGAATGACAAATAAGATGGTGTTAATATGATTCATTTTTAATCCATTTTTAACATCTCTCACATTATTTACAATTTGAAGTATCTAAGGGCTAATTTTCCAAAACTCCAGTTCCATCAGCTTCACTAAAACAAGTTTCATCAATATCTTCAGATTTCTTTAATTTTTTTTCTATTTCATCCGTTGTTGATCCTTCAAAATTACCAAATTTTTCCATCAATTTTTTCCTAAAAGCATCTTCTTTTTATATTTATTTTGGAGGAGGTGGGGGTGGTTAAGGTATCATTATAAAATTTATGGAAATTAAAATAATTACACATTGTTCTTATAATCCTCAATAACTATTAATTAATTATTATATGAAATTTTTTTTTTTTTAAATCATACATTAATTAATCATAATAAATAAATTGAAAATTTTTTTTATTCACCTTAAATATTTTTTAAATGAGAGATCTGAATTCGGATACACAATGATTGTCAGATACATATCTGCATTAGATTGAAAAAGTAAGGATTGACTAATTTGATAAGTTCTTGAACATTACTTGCCTTTTTTGTTAAATAATATATATTTTTGACAGATATAATTTTGAAATGATACTTATGTATAAATTAAGAATATCAATAATGATTTATGTAAGTAAGATCTAAAGTTTCTATTTTCGAATATTTTTAGTTCATAAAATATTTATTTAATTCATATAAAATTTTGATCTTACGTCATTTAAGCTTTGTATACTATATTCATATTACACTATATTGGATTACAAATCTAAGAATCAATAAATCATTTTTAATCATTATATAAAATCTTTTTCTAAATATAACATCGTTTTTAAATTGCCTACTATGATAAACTAAAACACAGGTAAAAGTAAATTTAAATAGTTCTAGAATCATCAAAATGGGATTGGGTACCTGCTACTCAAACACTGGAGTTAACAATCAATTCGAATAAAGTATAAATAGAAACAACTCCTTCAATTGTTTTGACTCATCCTGAAGGAGATGTAAAAATATATGTAAAACTTTTTATAGGCTTATCCTGAACCATATGTTACTTTGGTTATTGATACTGAGAAACAATTAAAATATTCTGAAGAATTAGGATGGAATTGGCATAAGAGCTGGAATTTGCCAAATATTGTTGTTAGATTGGAAGTAAAGACTTTTTCATATGAAATAGATCAAAGATTCACAAACATAAGAACTTTTACTATCTCCTAAAAATTTATTTGCTTAATTATATGCTGTTAAGAAAGTGTAAGACGGAAGTCGAGTGATACTTTAAGATGTAGGTTTAAGAGGAACAAGTAAATTAGAACTGATTGATGGTCAAGCATATTTTTCAGTAAATTAATTTATAAAATCTTATTGTAGGCTTTGAGATTCGCATCAACCTCTTATAATAATGAAGGTGTTAAATTTCATTTATTAATGAGTGTTTACATTCAAAATTCTGATACTGAAAAACCTTAGATTTTGAATTCAACTATTTCTCCTCCTATATTTGTAGATAGTCGAAAGAGTGCTGGTAATTCTGAATAAAAAAAAGTATATATTCATGCAGAACCTTTTACTTTTGATTTATTAGATAAAAAGTATTTTAAAAGAGAGAATAAAAGAAAGACTGAATAAGATGTAGAAATAGAAAATGATTTTGAAAGTCTTTTTAATTACTTAACTGCTCCTAACATTCGTCACAAAGTGAAACATCCTCTATTTTTGATTATTAAATTTTCATCTTGTGTTTCTCTATACTACAATCCTATGACTGTAGAGGGAAATATTAAAATAATAATGGAAAAATTATAGAGTTAATTAACTAAAGATATAATAACTAAATAATTGAATACAACTGGTGATAAATAATTTTATTTATTGATTGAGGAAAATAATGATTAAAATAAAAATAAAAAGGTAACTGAAGCAATAGATTTTCTAAACACAGGATGTTTAGAGATTGTAAGAAAGGAAGATTAAATACCTTCTAAATTTATAAAATTAGGAGATTCATCTGAAATCTTAGAAAACTATAAATAATGTTTTGATTAATTATTAAAGATCTTTAAACAATTAACTTAGAAATTCTGTGAGAGTGATTCAAATGAATCAGATGACAATTATTCTGATTCAGATTTACCTTAACCTCCATAACCTCAATAATAATAACCTCCACAAACTATTCAACCTCCCTAACCTATTTAACCTTCATCCCCTTCTAAGAAAGTTAAACTAAATCCTGAAAATCTTCAAATACAATCAGAAATTAAGAATACTATCGATAAGAATCCTATCAATGAAATTATTGCCTAAACAATCAATTAATAATAACAGAAACCTATTTAAATATAACCATAACCACTTAAAAATTAATAACCTACAATAATAAATAAACCAAATATTTCTTAAGTAGCACCTAATCAAAATTCATCAAATATATTACAATTCAATAAGAAATCACTTGTATAATAATAATCATTTACTACATCTTAACCTCCCTAATAACAACAATAATAAACATCTATTTAGGATTAATCTTATAGAAGATAATAGACTATTCCAGCAATCTAACCAATTAATCCACCTATCTCTTAAGGATAGTAGGGAGCACCTTCATCCATAAACCCTGGATATCCTTATTAATTTCAATAACCTCTTGATTAATCTAGTTTATTTCAGTAATACTAATTATAATTATTACTATTGTAATAGTAATAATAATTAAATTAATAACCATTTCCTCTTTAAGCAAGTATGATGGGGAATCCAATTTAACCTTAATTATAAAATTATATGTCAAATTTAGGTGGAATGGGATTAAATTAAGGATAAATCAATCACCAACCTTTATTGAATTAAAACTTTTAATAATTTTAACAATAATTTTTAGCTTAACAATTGACTTCCTAATTGGGACTTTAATCTCAATTGCCTTAATAATTAGGAGCTGGAATGGGTTTAAATCAATTATAGTAATAATAATATCTATAACAATTACAACAAATGGGAATGGGAAGTTTTCCTAATTTTAATCCAATGATGGGTTTATACTAAGGATAATAGCATAATTTAAAGAAACCTGGAGAAGGATAAGGAATAATAAAATAAGAGCCATAATGATATATATATCTATATTTAATAATAAGTATCATTATTTTGAAGCTATAACTTGTTCTCTTAGCTCATTTATTTCAGATTGGATTTAATTTCTAACTTAATTCAATGATGATGTCACTATTTATTCAACAGCTTATAACACATTATATTAATATTATTATTAAGATTCTTATGGTTATTGAGGTTGAACTTATGAGACTTATTTACTATGAGTTTTTGATTATTCAGTGTTAACTCTTTTATCTGTTCCAACTGATTTTTATGTTTCATTTTTAGATTTTTCAATTTTATGTTCAAGATTTCTTTATAATGCTTGATTTTCTTCTTTTAATTTAGCTTCATACCATCTATTTATATAAACTATTGTAATACCTCTAAAGATTATTCATTTGTTATTCCATATCTTTGACTTTGCCTTAAAGTTCTTAAAGTTGTTTTTACTACTTTTTGGAGTCTTTATCTTAATTTCCATCTGGATTTTTAATTTTGGATTCTAGTAATTTTTCTGATTTCAAAATTTTTGATTCATTTTCTTCAATCTTTCTCATCAATCCTTTAACTACACTATCAGTTCTTTAAATAGCTGGAATGTATTCTATCATTTGTAATAATGGCATTAAAGCATCTTATTGTAAACATACTCTGTTTAGATTAACTACTATTATTTTATTATTTACTTTCTAGATGAGCTAACTTAGATGTTTCTTTATCTTTTTCAGTAGTTGGTACAAATGGTGGTAAGTTTTCAGCAGATTTTCTAAGTACATTAGTTTTGTTAGCTTGTTTGCTAGCTGAAGTATTTTTCATAAATGTCTGTTAAATATTAATTTTATTATTTTATTGAATAACTCATTTTTTATATTGATATTTAACAGGGGCCATATCAGCATTAACTTCAGTTCCATTTTCCATTAATTCTCCACCAACTGTTAAATCTAAATAAATTCTATGAGCAGGAAGTTGTTAATCTGTTCTTTCGGCATACAAACTACCTAGATCTCTATTGAGACTAAAAAATAATAAAATAAAGAATTTTACGTTTCTTATGATGGTGCTGGATAACTGGAGAAAATCAAATATTAATCTACAGTAATTGATGAGACATCAACATTATATTTTTCTTTGAAATACTTTAAGAACTATCCTAGAGTCATTTATTAATTGATAGTTATTCTATCCCAAGCTGTCCATTCTAAGAATAATTAAAATAATTTACTTGGTGGAATAGCTTTAGTTGGTCCTAATAATAGTACATTATATGCTTAATCTTAATGTTCTCCAGGTGGTAATGGCTCTGAAAACAGGAAGAGTGGTAAAGCCAAATTTATAAATGAATTTCTCATTTTAGTAACATTTTTCTTTAGAATAAATTTAAAGATTTCAAGTCCAACTGCACCAACAATCATTGCTGTTGTTGTAGCTAAAGCAGGAATAATTTTGCCTGCAATTAATTTAACTTAAAATGGTGGTACTTCAGGAATCTTATAATTTCTTGCTCTTAAATTAGATACTGCAGATAAGAATTCAATATGCCAATTAGTTGGATCATCTTTCTCAAAAGCACATTCCTATAATTATTTTGTTACTTCTTTATTTTCTAAAGTCATTTTTTCTAATTCTTAAGCTAGTTACTAAATTTATATTTCATCATCTTCAGATTTCTCTTCTTTTTAATCTTTTTCATTTTCTTTTATTTACATTTATTTTGGAACATAATTTTATACTGAAATTGAAGGTAATATTTTAGCAATATCATCAAATTTATCTTATTTTGGTAAACCAAATATTTACGAGAAAATATTAACAGCACTATGAATAAATAATTAATGAAGTGGATCATTTTAATCAAATTCAATAGGAGTTGGTGGTCTTTTAGGATTAGTCCAAAATAATTACCCCTCTGATGTTCTATGATCAGGGGGGAAACAAAATAGTAATTATTTAATTTAATTACAGAAAATATCCTAAAACATATTCTTAGCTAAACCCACAATAGCTTATAAAGATGGTTATTTAACAACCTAAGTAAATTTTTTAACTGATTCTAATTTTGGTCTTAAAACTCCTGGTTAAGCTTTAAGTTCAGTTAATATTCTTTTAAGATAATTGACTGGATTTTCAAGATATTTGATACAATCTTAAGATCCATCTTCAAAGAATCCTGCAAAATAATCTCTAGCCCATTAAATAGTATGTTCAATTTAATAAGGGAAGTTTTTTAAAGTACATAATGGGATAGTATCTTCAGGTGGATCTTAAGATTCACTATAAGATTATGTTTAATTTGGAAGAATCAATTAAGAATTACATTTAGTTCCAAGAGTTCCACTTTCAAATAATGGTTTACCATAATAACAACATTATGTATCAATATATTTTCTAGCATGGACATTATCAACTGCATTAATAGTTAAATCTAATCCATCCCAAAATTAATCATTAAAGATTGGTTCATTTTATTTACCAACTCTAAGAGCATAAGATTTGAATTTTGATGTTTTATTCATTTATTCACCAACTTTACATGCAGTAGCAGCTTTATTTGATCCAACATTATTTTTTCTAAATAAGAATTATCTATTTAAATTAGAAACTTCAATATTATCATCATCAGTAACTGTTACTTAACCTTAAGTTCCACTTCCACATCCCATCAATGCAAACATTTTAATATATTCACATCCAAGTGCACCTGCTCCAACCATAAATATTTTAGAATTCTATAATTATTATAAAACTTCTCTTCCAAATATAGCAACATAATCATCATATTGATTATTTAATAATGTTCTATTCACTTCAGTTTCAGGTAAAGCTTCAAAGAATTCACTATGTAACCATTATCTAATAGGTGTAAATTTACCTGTATATTTAACTACTTCCTATGCTACAATTCCACCCCAAAATGAAGTTAAAGGAGTTATTTATGCTTAAAAATACAATGCTGTATTTTTTATTAATTATTCATCCAATTCTGCTTTAATTGCTCCTTGTCCTCTATCTGAATTATTTATTTATTATGCTAATTCCCATACTTTTTAAGCATCATCCTAATTTAACAATCCTGGATATCTTCCATTTTATTATTTGAATTATAATAATGCATTGTATGATATATGTAATTATTCTGGTCTTCCTATCTTTTCCCAATCCATCAAATCTAATTCATTCTTACCTGGAGCAAATGGATGACTTAATGAAGCATTAAATGATTTAAATTAAATATCTTCTGGAACCTTTACTTAAACAGCTATTCCCTCTCTTAAATATTATGAAAAATTAGTTGTATCTCCAATACTAAACATATATGGTGATTTAACCTAATTTTATATTTCTATCATTACTTTTATTTTAAATATCTTTTCATTCACTTCTGTCATTCCTACTACCTCTTTGAATGTAATACTATCTCCATCCTAAAATCCATGTCTTTTCTCTTCTATTGTACTTACTATGCCTTCAACTTCCTTTGTTATTCCTGCTACTATTGCTTGTTTTGGTTCCTCTCCATTAGGATCAAATATTTAAAATTTCTATAATGAATATTATCCAATATTTTACATCTGAAAAATCTACAAATGTTGATCCATATAATCCTGATGAATGAGCTAAAATAAATCCATGTCCTTTTTATCTTACTGCCTCATTTACTTCTGTTATAAATTTCTAATCCCAAACATCAGTCAAAACTACAACTGAATATTCACTCAAACTAGCACCATTTAATTAACCATTATATATTTCCACACTGACATATGGGTTTAATTCTTTCAATTATTTTATTGCTGCATCCTATCTTGTCACCTTTCCTACTTGCTCAATTGTAGCATAAAAATTTGATCCCAAATCTGATACAGCCAACACTGTTGGATCATATACAGTCACAGATTTTGGTCCAGCTAATATCAAATTCTTGGCTATCTCTAATCCCAACTTGCCATAATATATCTCTATACCCCTCTTAAACCATGAATGAAACACTTCATTTAAATCAATTTTGATTAAGTTTCTGCTCCCAACACAGCTACCTATCTTGAGTATAAATTCTCGTCAAACTTAGTATCCTATTATAGCATTTAAAATATTATTTAAAGATATTTATTCTAGAAATCACTTAAATCATTATTAATCAACCCTTTCTATATTACTGATAAATTCTTATTTAAATAGAAAAAAATAATATACATTTCAAAATATCAGAATTTCTCTATAATCCATTATAAAAACACTTATAAATTATCTATTTACATCTTATTATTACTCAATACTCTTCACTTCTATTACATATCAAATAACTTTTAACTTATTTATTACTAACTTTAAAAATATCTTAAATAATGCTATACTGTCCAAGTACCTTTCATTTTTATTTTATTCAAATTAACAAACAATAATTATTTTTACTTAGAATTATTGTTACATTTAAATATACTTTTGAGAATAACTATTAATAAATCAAATATTTCTTAAGTTTCTCCATTTAAAAAATAACTAAGTATCCTCACTCTTGAATTTTGTATCCTAAGAAAAGTGAACTCTTCTTTTCTTATTAGTTTCTTTCCCAGATTTTGCATCTGCAGATTAAGATTATTTTTATTATGAATCACTTTTTAATATTCCTCTCGTCTCTTTTTGTGGTACAGTAATACATTCTAATTAAGTACTTTATAATTTTTCAATCCCTAAACATGAACTATGGTTCCAATTCAAATTGCTATTTGTTTCATTTTAGTTTGGAAATTTGGAAGAACACTCTTAAGATTTTGATGGATATTATTAATGATTTTATTCAGAATAAAAAGATTACAAAGCTTCAAATTTTTCCTACATTTATCTATTATTTTTTTTAAATAATTACATTTTCTATATCTTAGCTTTAACTTCACACTCAATATCTTACATAAATCGATTTTCCCTCTTTGGAATCATAAATTGATGCAATTATTTATTTTAGACAAATGCTGGTACTGGATTGTTTTCTAAATTACTTGATTAATTCTCATCCAACATTTCCAATGAGTTATCTATATCAATAAATTAAATTGTTTCTTTCTATGTTGTCTTTAATGTTTAGTTTTCAATTGTTAATTGACGTTTTAGATTTAAATTCTATTAACTCTAGATCACCTGCACTTCAGAATCATGATTTTATCCCATATTTGAACACTCTCTCATATAACAACTATGTTAAATTCCCATTAATTTAATAATTATTGTTAATTTTTCTAAAAAAAGTCCAAATCCTGATATCAAACTAAAAAAACTCCAATTAAAATTTTACTTCGATACAATCATTTTCGGATTCTGTCATTACATACTCAATTAAATTTTTATAATTTTCTGTTTCTGTAAACATTTTGAAAATCAAAATACTTGTAAATATCAAAGACGAAGTTTTGGTCAAAATAATTTAATTAATAGACAAAGATTTAAATAGGATGACAAAAACACTTACATTGAAATTACATATAATATTTTAATCTGCATTCTAAATAAAAAGTTCTATGATTAATTAAAGGAATGGAGATTAACTTTTAATCGAAATATTTTAAATAATTACAGTTCATAATAATCTCATGTGTTTATTAAGAAATCCGGAAATTCACTAGTCTTAAATACAAATATTAGAGAAAGCACTTTAACATTGAAAATTAGATCATTTTTTCTTATATATTATAGCAAGTTCTTATATACTAGAGTATTTTAAGCTATTCTAGTCAAAAGAAATTTGTTAAAAGGAAGTTTTCTAAGTTTTATCACAATAAAAAAAAAGGAGTTTTTAATAAATATTGAATTTTTTATATAATAAAAATATTTAAGTAACACAATTTCTAATATTTTAGACTATATTTATACATTATGACAAAATAAAACTTTAGAATTTTAAAATTAATTATGAGAGCTCACACTCTTTGCGAATTTAATTTGAAAATTTTTTTAATGAGACGATTTTTCATTATATGAGAATTAGGCAATAAATTAGTGAATTTTATTAAGAATATTAAAACTTTCATCATTTGTTCATAAGTAAAAAATTATTACCTAAGATTTATATTATTCTTTTATAATTCCTAAACTTATTTATTTAATTGATATACGTTCTCTTCATTTTTCAATAAAATATTAAAGATTTAATCATGTTTATTGATTTGAATAATGTTTTTTTAAAAATAGATTATTTTAATAATTGCTCTATCTAAGATAATTAAAGTTAATGCTTGTATATAATAAAGAATAACTTTTTCTAAATAATCTTGTAAATAAATATTGTCAATGATGTAATCACATATTTAATTGATTTCTTGATTATTAACAATTTTTGAATAGTTTTTATTGCATTTGTGATAATTTAAAGAAAATTCATTTTTTAAAATATCTAATATATCCAAATGTACATAAATTTACTATTCATTTCTTTTATTCTTTAGCATTCTTTCTTTTTTCTTTAACTCCAACAAATTTTGCATTATACCATTCTTATCTAAGTCTACGATATACATTCTTAGCTCTTAGTTCTTTAGATATTACTGTTGCCTTCTCTCTTTTAGGAGTTCTTTAAAAAGTGATAACCTAAATACTATGAAACTATTAAATACCTCAGAATTTGTATTTTAAGTAACAGGTTGAGCAACAACATCATTTGCTGAATCTTTAACAACACCATTCTTTGGTTTACCAGCTATTCTTGGGAAAAGTACTAGTTTAGATAAATATGCTTTGATTCTTTTAACATTAACTGCTAATTCCTCTTAGCTATTATTTCTGCGTCTATGATCAACAGCAACTCCAATAGTTCTAGCAAATTATGCATTAAGTCCTGCTTCCTTAAGTTCTATTAATGAAAATCCTCTTCCTAATTTTTATACGCCATTGTATTTAATTGTTTATCCTCTTACTACAGGTCTAAGCAATTCTACTGGTCTTGGTGAAGCGCCTAATCTAAAAATATTAATTACTTAATGCATTTGCTTATCTTCTTTGTTATCTTCTTCTCTTTGCAGCTGGTTAATTGTAATAAGTCTTCACAAATCTTGTCCAGTGTTTACGTAAGTGAGCATTAGGAAGTTGTTGATTGTGCTTCATTCAGAATTTATATTTAAATAAAAATATAGATTTTTAAACTCACATTAAAAATTCTCAAATTTTATAATCCACTCTGCTTTAAATAAATTTAAAAATACACAATCTATAAAATGAAATATTTTCTATTTATATTATTATTATCAAATAATTCAATTTTTATAAGTTATCATTTATA